GTCATTCTAGATTTTTAAACAAAATGTTGTGCCGTACCATGTGGTCAAATGCCTCACAGAAGCCTAAGCATATTACATCAACATTACCTTTTTCAACCAAACTTGTAATTCATCAAAAAAATATATAAAAGTTACCTTGTCAGGATCTATTTTCCATAAGACCATGCTGATTTGCATTAATTATAGTCCTCCTTTAGAATCATAGAAGATTAGGGTTGGAAGAGGCAACAGGAGGTCATCTAGTCCAATCCCCTGCTCAAATTAGAACCAACCCCAACTAAATCATCTAGTTAAATCAAGTCCTGTATCAGCTACTCCATTATCCTGCCCAGAATCGATGTCCAACTGATAGGTTTATAATTACCCACATAATCCCATTTACCCTGTTTAAATATTGGCACAACATTACCTTTCTTCCAGTCTTCTAGAACTTCCCTGGTGTTTCAAGACCTACACCATGTGCACACTGCAAACTTTGGTCAACGTAAGTTATGTTGACATAAGGCTGCAGCCATGCATACTTGGCTCTGTGTGCTGGTGCTGCGTGCACTCACCAGGAGTGTTTGTGTTGATACACCGTGGGTAGGTATCCCAGTGTGCAACTCACCATCATGCAGCACACTTTTGGGGATATTTTGGCAACCCATGGTGGGGCAGAAAGGAATCACGCAGGGGTGACTGGGAGCAAGGGGTCAAGTTCCCATCATGCAACTTCAATTCCATCCATATCTCATAATTTTCATGCCTTTTTAAAAAATCCCACAAACCCATGAGGCACTTTTCACTGTCTGCCATATCTGACAGAAGCAGGGCACGCACACAGCTCTGCACTATTGTCATGAGCATTCCAAACAGGATGAACAATGCTCCGGTAGTTGCAGAACCAAAAGAACCACCACAGCAATGGGGGACATGACAAATTAGTGGAGGACAGAGTGCTGTGGGACGTAGCAAAAACCAATTCAAGCTTGCTGAAAGCATTCATAGAACAGCTGGAGACTGTGGAGTGCCGGTTCTGGGCCCAAGAAATGAGTACTGACTGGTGGGATTGCATCGTAATGCAGACTTGGGACAAAGAGCAGTGGCTGCAGAACTTTCCGATGTGAAAGGCCACATTGCTGGATCTGTATGTCGAGCTCACCCAGCCCTCCAGTGCAAGGACACCAGAATGAGAACTGTTCTGACGGATGAGAAGCGAGTAGTGATTGCACTGTGGAGCTTCCCATGCTAGATTTCTCCTGGTCAGTGCGAAACCATTTTGGAGCTGGAAAATGCACAGTGCGGGCTATTGTCATGCAAGTGGGCAGTGCCATTAATAGTCTCCTGCTTTGCAGGATGGTGATCCTTGGTAACATGCAGAACATGTGGATGGATCTGCAGCAGTGGGGTTCCCAAACTGCCATGAGGTGACAGATGACATGCATATACCTGTTTGGCACCAGCCCGCCTTGTCACAGAGTACATCAACGAAAAGGGCAACTTTTCTAGGTTATGCAAGCGTTGGTGGATCACTGGGGATGCTTCACCAACATCCATTTTGGCTGGATAGAGAAAGTGCATGACACTTTAAGAACACGGGACTATTCAGAAAGCTGCAAGCAGGGACATGCTTTCTCAACCGGTGGATTACCACTGGCTATGTGAAATGCCAATAGTGATCCTGGGGGACCCAGCCTACCCCTTGTTCCCCTGGCTCTTGAAGCCATGCACCAGCCACCTTGACAGCACCGAGAAAAGATTCAACTACTGGCTCAGCAGATGCACAATGACAATTGAATGTGCTTTTGGTAGATTAAAGGGACGCTGGTGGTGTTTGCTCACAAGATTGGATCTCAGTGAGAAAAATATTCCAATGGTTATAGCTGCCTGTTGTGTGCTGCATAATATCTGTGAGTCAAAGGTTGCCACCAGGGTGGACATGGAAGAGCCATCTGCTGAGTTTGAACAGCCAGATGTGAAAGTAGAATGAATTATATTGAAATTATAATTCACTAAAGAAATGCTGCTTGAAGAGTTTGTTGAAATATAGTTGTCAGGAAGAGAAGCATTAAGGAGTGTGAGACAGTGGGTCCTCAGACTAATTAACTTAGAGCTCCTACTGAGCTAGAATATTGGTAAACGTTAGTATGCAAATAAGATATGTATGTATATTTGTCAGTTTCTGCTTCCTTTTGTCTCCTATGTTAAATTGGCTTTCGCTTCTGTATAAATAAGTTAGATTGAGCTTTTGCAGGGGGCTCACATATATCTGGGTGCATTGGCAAAGCACTTTGCTAATAAACAGAGTGGTCTGACAAATTATGTGAGTCCTGAATCTGACTTTGACACAGACAAAAGGGCTATTACAAGAGTTCAACGTGGAGCTATGCAGCTGAGGGAGGCTGTGACAGAGCACTTCAACAGTCAGTCACAGCATGTCGTATGGTGGCCTGTACTCTTCCTACCCCTGAAGTTTTGGGGCCTGTTAGGAATTGTGTGGTAAATTAAGATACCTGTGTAGGCCCAATGATTATAAGAGCCCTGCACTGATGAGTTTGAGTGTGTTGCAGGTGCACCACTCGGGCTACTAACTCAAAAGACTGGGCATCATCCTCAGCTGGTGTAAACTGGCCTAGGACCACTGACTGTCCTGGTACAATCAGGGCATAGGGTCACTTCCCGTAAACAATGAAACCAGCCCTAATCCGTGACAAGGTTCAGAGAACAAGAGGGGCTGCTGCTGCCCCAGGTAATGTTCGGTATTTTGTTACTGAGTCCAGTGCCATGTCAGCAATGCTTTGTGTTATATTTGGCTAGCACTGCTTATCTTTACACTTAGAGAAAAATCACTGAGTAAAAACTTTCTGTGAAATTGCCAATAAAACTTGTTTTTATGTAAGACAATAGGTTTTGGATGTGGTTTACTGATGCAGTCATTGGAAAGGTGCCTTGGAGAGAGGAACTGAGCTCTGAACTCTGGCAAGCTAATATGGTACAGCTTGAACATGAGGGCACAGATGGGACTATGCTACTTCTCCCTGACAGTGCCACAGAAAGACAGGTGAGGGTCATTGTGAGCATGAGGAGAGCCAGCCACTATGAAAAATACGGCACCAGATATGGTGACAATCAATCATAATGTATTCATCTTGTTACAAGTGTAGTTAAACTTTTTTAAAATGACTTTATTAATAATACAAAATCCATAAACAAAATAGCACAGGAAAGAAAAACAATGACAGAGGAAGATGTTTCCAAAATTAAACTCAGGACAGTGTAAGCTATAGAGATGATCACTATCATCTCTTCCCTTAAGATTGCAAAGCAACAGTAGCTAGCTACCCTATTAAAATAAATGAAGGTCTCTGCATTTCCGTCCAGCGTGCATAGTTCACTTTGTTATTAGGTAGGGACAATAATAGCAGCAGGACCATATTTCTTCATAGAGGGCCTGATCCAACTCTCATCAACTTTCCCAGTGAAAGTTGAATCAGGTGATATATAAAAAACCAGTGTCAAAATTCATTTTAAATCTTGAGGACCTCTTTGTTTTAACATTGGTTTAGTGCAACAGGGGATGAACAGAATAGCCTTCAACTAAGTAATGCATTGCTTTGCAAATGATAAAGCTTTGTGAATAAATCTGTTTCTATTGATTCAGAGTAAACTAACAGAAAACATAGAACCAAACAAATTTGCTACACTGGGGTTGTCTACATTCAATCTCACTAAAGATTTCGGGCTAGCTCAGCACCCAACAGCTCCCTTTTAAACACCTACCTGGCCAGATTTTCAAGGTGTTTAGTTTCTAGCTCCTGTTAAGAATAACAGGAACTGCTGCAGGGAGCTGATATTTTTTTAAAATCTAGCCCTAAATCATTTAATGCTAGTAAGTGAGAAATGCCAGTAAATTAGGCCCCCAACCTGGGATTAATCTTGACTTTAACTGGAATTGCAGATGATCAACTTTTCTCAGCATCAGGCTCCCTGTGAGCCCAGCCCTACTCCAACTGGCTACTTTGATCATTTGGACTGGTTTTTGTTATTCATTTATTTTTAGTAACCAGGGGTGAGATCCATGAATGGACACAGACACTGAGCACCATGGTGCCTAGAAAACTCACAGGAACAACACTGTGATCCACAAAGCCTGAGTTAGGCACCTAGACTCCCTATACAATGAATGGGGGGAGAAAGGTGCCTTAGATTGCATTCGACAAAACCAGCGTTGCCAGGGGGGAAGCCACTTCCACTAGCCAATGGGAGATGCTGAAAAAAGGGGTGTGAGCTAAGACTTGCCTCTCTCTCGGAGATAGGCACTTAGGTGTCTCCCTGTAGTCTGGACTTCTCTGCTTGTGATCTGTGAACTGGGAGAAGCTAGGTGTTTGGCCACTGTCACATGCGGAGGCTGAAACAAAACCAGGAGGAGGCACGCCTCTCCCCAAATCCATTAACCTAGAGGATAGGATACTCACCCGCATGTGGGGGACCTCCAGTTCAAGTCCCCCTTCTACCTGACAGGCAGAAGGCATTTGAAAAGGGATCAGCCCTTTCTCAGGTGAGTACCCCTAACCAGTAGGCATAGAAATATTCTAACTCTTTCTCTGGGCTCGCTTAATATTTAATTATTTACTTAACATGGAACAACTTCAACATGAAAGACTGAGGAAACCCCTTCTGAGATTGTCCCATAGTCCAATGGCTAGAACGCTCCCCTGAAATGTGGAAGATCCTTGTTTAAATACCTTCTCCCCCTCACTGGAGGCCTCCCCCATCCCAGGTGGGTATCCTAACCACTGGGCTAAAAGTTATCAGGGAAGTCGTCGTCGTCCTCCACAGCAGACTGAGCCGCTCATACACTGATCCAGTGGCGTGCTACGTACTCTTCGGGGGATTGGAGCAGCCAGTATATCTCTCAGTACCTTGGGGCAGTAATAGTGCAGGAAGGCATAGTCGACCACACTTTGTCCAAATCAATGCTTAACTAATGTGAAGATTTACCACACGGTGGTAATCATGGCTGTGCCCACTCCCACCATTGCTACCAGTAACAGAGAGGCACTGCTTTGAGCATCACGTTACAGAAGTATCATGTAACATCTTAGTGTAGATGCAGCTGCACAGTCTGCCAAGACCGGAATTTCTATTTTAAAAATAAGGCAAAAAAAGAAATGTATGGGGAAAAAAACCATACAAATACAGGGACTAGGATACTGCCCGCAGGTTGTGTGTGTTGGAGTGAGCAAGCCAGCAGAAGTTGTGAACATGACCTGAGAGGAATCAAAGAGATAGGGCTTCTTGGGCACAGGTCCCTACATAGCAGACTTGGGGGTTTCCTAGCAAGGAACTGCCTGCTGTTTTTCTCCTAGCATGATCAGGCAAACAAAATTCTGCCTTTTTTTTTTTAAACAAACATGACTGCAGTATACTTGCCATATTATCAATTGCTCCACCCAGTAGAAACAATCATTAACACCCTGAAGGTAAGTTAGCTGTTGCCCTTCTTGGGGGGCACAACATTATAGCTGTATGACCAGATGAGGGTTCATTGTTTCCACAGCGCTCAACTCTCTCCTCATTTCTTCACTCATATTGCTACACCGCAACCTATGGGATGAAAAAAGTATTGATTTTATCAGATACAAAAGGAGCAATCCAGCTCCCAATTCAAATGCTCCCCGAGTCCACAGTCTCTTTGAAGGGCAACATACCACGCACACTTTCATTCAGTAAGAAAGGCAATGCGTATTCAGCAACTATGCAAGTGAGGGCATTTAGTCATTGCACAAATTCTGCAAAAATCTATGCACCTTCCTCCTTAAAAAGTATGTAATACCCCTTCATCTGGTTCCTGAGCCTGCACGTGCAGCACATCAGATGGCTCTATATTCTCCTAGCCCCAGCAACTTCTGCAACCCTTCACCTGACTATTTCAAGTCACCTCTCTTATACATTTCTACATAAGCATCATGGTTCCCACTGACCTTCTACAGTCTGAAGAAGGTCCTGAAAATATTAGAATGGAGCAGGAAGAGGTTAATGGGGGCGTGCGGCGGAAGGTTGGCTCTCAAAGGCCGGCTGAGGAGTCAGCTACAGCACTGAACTCCCAAGGGTTCCCCCTTTTCCTGCCTCACGTGCTCCTTGCTCTCCCATTCCCAAAGCCCTGTGGAGTTTAAAGAGTTTTACAGCATATTTGGCTTCCAATGCATGTTAAGAATTTTTAAAAGTGTTTAAAACCTAACAATTTCCTTAATCTGGAGTTAAGGTTGAAAGAAAAGATACGTTTTTACCTTTTAGTTACTTCTGAGAACTTTGCTAACAAAATAACTAAAAACCCAGGAAATTCAGTTATGATTAAATTTAAAAGAAAGCAAAGCGTTTTTAAGTGTGGAGATGCACAGATAAGTCTATCCATATAACACAACTCTGCCCCCATCAACAAAGTTCTGAGAACAAAGACTCAGAAACGGACTTATTCAGCTGAGAAATAGGCCAAACTCAAGAAAGTGTTTCCCCAAAGTAATTGTAGCTCTCCCAGGACTTCATCACACACACACCCCTCAGTCTTTATTGAGCATAGAGTAAGACTAACAAAGATGGGCCATGCCAGTGAAGCTCCTTCTATATGGGTAAGGGAAATTTTATTTTCCTGAGGTCATAAGACCCTCCACAGAGGGTCCCCAGCAAAGTTCAACTAAACTTCCCCTACAAGAGTGTTCTGTTCATGGCATGCAAACAGAAGTTAAATAAAAACAAAATTCTCTTTCTGGAGCATTGGGCAACATAACATTTCTTAAAATCCAGAACCCTAACGCAGAAGAACCAACAGAGAGAGAGAGAGAGAAAAGCCAGGCTGCTCCCTAAGGCAGAGAGGCACAACTCAACCCACCATGCTCTAGGCTGGCTCTTTACAGATCAGCTGCTCAAGGCCCAGATCACATGCTTCCGTACAGAGCCCCTCTAGGCTGCAAGCTGGACAAGTAAACCCTTTACAACCTTAGCGATAGCTTGCAATGTTACCACAGTTTTCACTACCCCACATCATTTCCTAAATAACAAACACAATAAAAAAAAATCACAAGTTTACCTTTATGGGAGGTCTGTGATTTCCCTTCAGCTGTTGGTGCTAATCAGGAAGAGCAAGTTTGGCTCACCCCCAGCAGGAGCACCTTTTGCTGTCCCCCTCTCCTAACATTGTCTGGTACCAACTCCTCTCTCCTCCTCTGGCTAACAACACCTGTAATATTTTTTTCTAACTTCAGAGGCTGTAACTGTGCTGGGCTTCTGTCTGATAATCGTTGGTCAATGTGCCTCTACATTATCTCTCCTTTTACCTCTCACTGCTCCCAGTATTTGCTTTTCCACACCTTTTCCCCCACCTCATCCCGGCCCTATAATTTTGTACCAACATTGTCTGCCCTAGGCAGACAAACCTGGGAGGTTAATGCTGTGGGTTTTTCCCTGTTTGCGGTCTTTCATGGAGTGCTCTCAATGAGTCTGGTCTAGTACATAACTGACATCTTAAAAACAATTCCACTGGGAGTTTTCTGAGTGGTAGACTGGGGGGTTGACCTATATGAGAACAGGATATCCTTGCCACTTGGGCTTTGCAAATTTCCTACCATTTTTGGGTAATCCTTATTTCAGTGACTGCACAAAACACTCTGCCAATCCATTTGAAGCTGGGTGACAGGTAGCTGACCTAGCACGTTTCACAGAATTTTGCCATAGAAATGTCCTCAGAAATAAATTGTGAACCATTATCTGAAATAAACTCCACAAGTAGGTGGCAAACATATTGCAAACCACTTTCAGGTGTTTTTCCAGAAGAGGTTGTTGTCATGTGCACTACCTCTGGCTAGCAAGAATAAGGATCATTTGCTTGTTTTTTTTTTCCTGAAAAGTCAATATATACCCATTGGCAAGGCTTTAGAGCTCCCTTCCATGGATGACATGGTGCCTTTTATGGCATGTTTGGATGGCTATTACAGGAGTCACACTGGCCACACTTAATCAGATGTCAAGATTTTCCATTGTTGAACACAGACTGCTGCTGCCATGTTTGCTGTATTGCCAACATTCTTTACCAAGCAGTATATTATTTGGATTCCATTTTTCATCTCCAATTTATACAGTCACCTTAAAAACTAGGAGCGTAAACAAATCACACTGCACAAGAGGACAAGAAACAATCCACAAACTAGAACAGCAGCTCAGAAGATATGTCTTCTTAAAAACTAGGGAAATTCACAGATTTAAAAAAAAAAAATCTGTGTGTGCTGTTAGTTGAGGTTGCTCTGTTCTGCTTTAACAACGTTTTTCTCCAGTGCTGAAAAGCTAGGAAATAAAAACAAAATAAAACACTTTTGTTTCTCTAACAACTTCAGTATAAAAATGTATTAATTCTTACCTATTGCTATCCTCCTTCCACTACACACAAGGCTTCATAAACTATTATACAGCTTTAACTCTGACATATGTACAAGAGGAACACACATTACAAGTTGTTCTCTTTTCCTCAAAGAAGTCTCAAAAGAAAACCATATCTTAAAAAAAGATTATGTACTTTGAACATGTCTATTAAAACGCTAACAAGGAACATTGAATGACTGTCCATTCAGTAACACTATCTATCCTGTGCAGTTAATGAGGCAAGGAGCCTGTAGAAAATAAAAAGAATTTGTGATCACATAATTAAAGGTTTTATCATGATGCCTACACACCAGGAGGCTGAATTAACATTGTAAAAGCAACTTCAATTCTGGCATTTCCTAAACTTTAAGAGCTTAACTTTTCAGCTTTAATATTCCATTTTTGCCTCGTGGGGTGTTTTTTAATGTATCAATAATTGTACTAGCCCAAAGTCTCCACAGAATTTATCTCCCTTTATCTGAGTCCATCTTTCATCATTTTTTTCATAACGTCCTCTTGTATTTGTAGATTTAGAACACGTAGCTGAGTGTCATGCTGGATTTACAGGGAACTAAGCTAGTTGTCTGAAATTTTGTGAACAAAGGAACATTACAACAATTTATAACTGCCTGGCATGTATGCTGAACCAAGCTCTTCATGTTCCTGATGTCTGTCTTAACTACACTTGCCAGTGCTGCTAACACCTGTGAGGGCTGCTGCCTAGAGAGAGGGGCAGGCTTGCACTAAAGAATGAAGAAACTGGGCTACCTGACAGACAATCCTGACCTATTTGTCCCTGCTTTCTCTCTTTCTTTGAGTCTTTCTTTTTCCCTTCCAACTTTGTCCCAGAATTAATTATCCTCATGGTGGTAAATGAGAGGAATGAAGGAAGAGGGTTATTTTAAATGATGACAGGATCCCAGACTTGCGTTCTGCATCTACCTTTCTGAGGAAAATATAAATGGAGCAGATTTTGATGTTAGAACCTCATGTTCCAGTATATGACATCTAGTATATATAACATCTAGTATATGATCACACTTTTGGTCTGCCTAAAGATGGCCGATCAACACAGCCCCGTCTCTCTCTTCTCTTCCCCATGCAGGTTAGTGGTGCTGATCGAGGGTTGGTACTGCATCCATTGTAATATTGCAATCCTAGTAGCAAAAGTGAGAATCAGGATTGTATTATTTTAAAAGACACTAAAAGGAAGCCGATTGTTACTTACCTTATTTTCCTGAGCTTGCAATTTTGGTCTTTCAGTTTTTCACACAGCAGCTTCAAACCTGAATATCCCAGGTTGTTCTCCCCGAGGTCCAGCTCTGTCAGGATCTGATTTGTACTGAGAACAGTGGAGAGATCGCTACAACAATCAGCTGTAAGATTGCACCAAGAAAATCTACAAGAGGCAAAAATATTGAGAGAGAAGTTACTCCTTATTTCTTTCTCCCACTGACATCAATAGGTGTCTAGACAGATTCTTATTCCTGGATGTAGAGATAAGTCACAGGGCTCCAGCAGGAAGCCATGTGACAGTAAGCAATAAAAGTCCTCTCAGTGGATTCCTTGCCACATGCACCTGTTAAGTCATTTTCCATGTATTCCACAAGTGAAATTCTGTGAATGAGGTGTTGACTGTAGGTCATGACAAAAGGGCTGGGGAATCAACCTGCAGAAGGATGTGGCTGGAAAACTGGCTTAAACCTCTCTCATTGCTGCACAGAACTCTTGTTCCCTTCTGGCTAAGCAGATGGAGTCACAGCTTCTGTATCAGCTCTCTTTCTCCAGAAATGTTCCTCATGGCTAAAACTGTGAGCCTTATGTTGCAGGAGTCAACATCCCTCACACCCAGAGACAAGCTACCTGATGACTATGCACCTCACTCTTTATCTCCTGGTTTTCAAAGGTGCATTTGACATTTTGGAAAGGTACAAAACACGAGCAGTGACCCTTAACACTACACTACCGAAGTTTTGTGGCAGTGAATAATTGTTGAAAACCAGCACTCCTTGTTTTAATGAGAGAAACATATTTCAACACTACTTTAGCTTACATCTTGTTTCCTCTGTGTATGTTACATCCAGTTACCTCTATGTAAAGACTCTAGATTGGTGTTAGTGAGACTTGACACAATGCCTACTGAAATGAATTGTATCAAAGCAAATCTAAGTATAAAGAAGCCCAACTGAGTGCAGCAATGATGCACGTGCCTTGGTTGTTCTACTGCAATATTCTTTGTTTTCTTTTGGGATCCACAATATCTTTATCTTTCCACACTTGGAGAAAACGTTATTACGTCAAATGAAAAAAGTAGGGAAATGCTAGTAAAGTGCATCGGTCCTTTTCAGCATCTCTCTCAAAGTGCATATTTTGATTCCTGATCATGTGTTGCTAATTTCCTTTATTTCAATTTAATTAATAACTGAAAAAAGGCACCTGTCCAAGGCTTGATATGCCTTAACAAACCAGCAGCAGCAGCAGTCAAGTAATCATTTCAACAGGAACTCGACCACTTATAAAAACTCCTTTCCACCCCTTTATCATTCTGGGAAGCGTATCTTCAGCCCTCTGCAAAAACCCCACAGATGTTTTTTGACGCATACCCAGAAAGTCACCCAATTCAAGCTATTTCCAACCAAGCAGGGGCAGCAAGTCCCAGAGCCCACCGGAGAACGGCCTGCCAGCCACCCCCCCCCCCATCCTTTTATAAAGGGGGATCCAGCTGAGGTGTCTCTGCTGAGCATGGCTGTGGCAGTCTGGCCTGGGGACAGAGGTGATCCCTCAGGCAGACCAGTCCTAGGCCTTGTAGGGCTTTACAGGTCATAATCCATACTCTGAAATTCCACCTGGAGACCAAAGAGCAGCCAGTGGAGATCCCGGAGCCCTGGTGTCATGTGCTCCCAATCGAGATACCCTGTTCTACACCGCTTTAGACTCTCAATGGGTTAAGGTGTAACCCTACAGAGCATATTGTAATAGTCTGATTTTGAAAGAACAGAAGTATGGATAGCAATGGCAAGGCCTACATCCAAAAGGAAGGGTTGTAACCTGCTAGCCAGACACAGATGATAGAAAGCTTACTGAGTCACTGCTGTAACATGATCATCAAACAGCAGCTGGGGTCTAGAACTATCCCTAAGTTACAAACCCTAGAAACTAACAGCAGACGTTCGCCTCCAAATCAAAGGAATTGATATTATCTCAAATGCGTCCTCCATCTTCTTCCCCCAACCTACCATCATCACCTCAGTCTTGTCTGGGTTAAGCTTCTGCCAGCTTGCTCCCATTCATGCCACAATCTAGTCTAGACTCTGGCTGAAGCACTGAACTGTATTATCTGAGTTAGATGGAAGAAAGACTTGTAGCTGGATGTCATCAGAATATTGAAAACACCAAACCCCATGCCTCTTCACTAGACTCTCCTCACTGCCCCACTGACACACTGAACAAGATGGGTGACAGAATGGCCCCACATGGCACCCCACACCTAAGAGCTCTTCAGGAAACTGTAAGGATCAGGCCCTTTTCCTGCAGCATATTATAAGGCCTGTAGCCATATTGTAAGTCCTAAAAGCCTACGGCCTTTGTCTGCAGCCAGATTGAAAGAGCCGCAGCTATTAGCTGAGTAGCAGAAAGTCACATCCTCTCATTCTATCCAAATTACATTAAAATAGTGTAATATCAGGCTGTTAAGAAAAAGAGACCCAGTCCTAATGGCACCCACTATCACCAGATAAAGAAACAGATCTTAAGATGGTTAAAGAAAAACTTGATTTGATGCATTCTGTCTGACAAGAAAGCACTTATCAATAGTGGGGGCTGTGAAATCCCCATTTTTTTATTGTTTTGTCATTATGGTCCCCACTTCCCTATTGTTTGTCTGTATGGTCTGTGTCTGGTTCTTTAATTGTTTCTGTCTGCTGTATAATTAATTTTTCTAGATGTAAATCAATGAAGGTGGTGGGATATAATTGGTTAGAGAATTATGTTACAATATATCAGAATTGGTTAGTAAAATTTTAGTAAAGTAATTTGTTAAGGTATCGCTAAGCAGGACTCAAGTTTCACTATATAAACTGGGGTCCAAGAAGGAGACCAGCAGAGGGGAAAAGAAGGAAAAGAAGAATAAGAAGAAGGAAAGACCTGGAAGAAGAACTCACCCCCAAAATACAGCCTAAGACCAGAGCTGCTAAGAATCCTCTGCACAACCATGACGTGCAGCAACCAGAACCCAGATGAGACTGACCTTGCCTGGCCAACAGGGAAAGTTCACCTGCCTGATCAGGATTGGTGAGCATAGCATTGTGTGCTTAGCGTGTGTATTCGGCTTGCTTGGTAATTGTTAATAAATAGAGTAAGGATATTACTGTGTAAGGCTCCTTCACTGGTAAAAGGTCCTGCAAACCCACAGGAAGTTACGCCCTGAGGCCTAGGAATTGGGTACGGGTGGGTATTCAAATTAACAGGGTTATGCCTGAACCCTAAAAACAGGTAAAAGTGGGTGCCCCTACAGTGTGTGAAGGGCAGAAAATTTGTGCGGGTAACAGAAGAGGAGCAATAGACCACAACTACTTGTTGAGATCTGAGAGAAAAGAATGAAACCAGTGAAGAGAAAGAATAGTAAATATGGCAGGCGACCAGCTTGGCTTAACAGTGAAATCCTTGCTGATCTTAAACACAAAAAAGAAGATTACAAGAAGTGGAAGACTGGACAAATGACCAGGGAGGAGTATAAAAATACTGCTCAGGCATGCAGGAGTGAAATCAGGAAGGCCAAATCACACCTGGAGTTGCAGCTAGCAAGGGACGTTAAGAGTAACAAGAAGGGTTTCTTCAGGTATGTTAGCAACAAGAAGAAGGTCAAGCAAAGTGTGGGCCCCTTACTGAATGTGGGAGGCAACCTAGTGATAGAGGATGTGGAAAAAGCTAATGTACTCAATGCTTTTTTTGCCTCTGTCTTCACGAACAAGGTCAGCTCCCAGACTACTACACTGGGCAGCACAGTATGGAGAGGAGGTGACTAGCCCTCTGTGGAGAAAGAAGTGGTTCAGGACTATTTAGAAAAGCTGGACGAGCACAAGTCCATGGGGCCGGATGCACTGCATCTGAGGGTGATAAAGGAGTTGGCGGATGTGATTGCAGAGCCATTGGCCATTATCTTTGAAAACTCATGGTGATCGGGGAAGGTCCCGGATGATTGGAAAAAGGCTAATGTAGTGTCCATCTTTAAAAAAGGGAAGAAGGAGGTTCCTGGGAACTACAGGCCAGTCAGCACCACCTCAGTCCCTGGAAAAATCATGGAGCAGGTCTTCAAGAAATCAATTTTGAAGCACTTAGGGGACAGGAAAGTGATCAGGAACCGTGAGCATGGATTCACCAAGGGCAAGTCATGCCTGACTAATCTAATTGCCTTCTATGACGAGATAACTGGCTCTGTGGATGAGGGGAAAGCAGTGGACATATTATTCCTTGACTTTAGCAAAGCTTTTGTTACAGTCTCCCACAGTATTCTTGCCAGCAAGTTAAAAAAGTATGGGCTGGATGAATGGACTATAAGGTGGATAGAAAGCTGGCTAGATTGTCGGGCTCAACGGGTAGTGATCAACGGCTCGATATCTAGTTGGCAGCCAGTATCAAGCGGAGTGCCCCAAGGATTGGTCCTGGGGCCAGTTTTGTTCAATATCTTCATTAATGATCTGGAGGATGGTGTGGACTGCACCCTCAGCAAGTTTGCAGATGACACTAAACTGGGAGGAGAGGTAGATACGCTGGAGGGTAGGGATAGGATACAGAGGGACCTAGACAAATTGGAGGATTGGGCCAAAAGAAATCTGATGAGGTTCAACAAGGAGAAGTGCAGAGTCCTGCACTTAGGAAGGAAGAATCCCATGCTATGCTACAGACTAGGGACCGAATGGCTAGGCAGCAGTTCTTCAGAAAAGGACCTGAGGATTACACTGGATGAGAAGGTGGATAAGAGTCAGCAGTGTGCCCTTGTTGCCAATAAGGCTTACGGTATATTGGGCTGCACAGGAGCATTGCCAGCAGATGGAGGGAAGTGATTAGTCCCCTCTACTTGTGAGGCCACATCTGGAGTATTGCATCCAGTTTTGGGCCCCCCACTACAGAACAGATGTGGACCAATTGGAAAGAGTCCAGTGTAGGGCAATGGAAATTATTAGGGGGCTGGGGCACATGATTTAAGAGGAGGGGCTTATTTAGTCTGCAGAAGAGAAAAGTAAGGGGGGATTTGATAGCAGCCTTCAACTACCTGAAGGGGGGTTCCAAAGAGGATGGAGCTAGGCTGTTCTCAGTGGTCGCAGATGACAGAACGAGGAGCAATGGTCTCAAGTTACTGTGCGGCAGGTCTAGGTTGGATATTAGGAAACACTATTTCACTAAGAGGGTGGTGAAGCACTGGAATGGGTTACCAAGGGAGGTGGTGGAATCTCCATCCTTAGAAGTTTTTAAGGCCCAGCTTGACAAAGCCCTGGCTGGGATGATTTAGTTGGTGTTTGTCCTGCTTTGAGCAGGGGGTTGGACTGGATGGCCTCCTGAGGTCTCTTCCAACCCTAATCTTCAATGATTCTACGATACTGGTCAATAATTAGCAAGATTGTCTGTATTGAGTAATGCCTCCTTCAAAGCAACAGGCAGAGAGGTATTGACAATCTCCATAAGTGAGGGACCCAAGTACTTCCTCAGAGGCCTTCACCAGCCTGGAAGGCCATAGATCCAAAGTACAGGCTGAAACATCGCTCACTCAATACCTCCAATACCTGAGGGAGCATCACTGGCTGAAACTCTAGCAGAAGACCATTTGTTCCCTCAAGACCTTGTTCTGCCACCACTGAAGCAGAGGGCCAGTCCTTAATTTGATCAATCTTGTGTGCAAAGTAGTTTCCTCACAACAGGAAGGACTCAGGTCTGCTACTAAAATGAGACAGGCTGGATTTATCAGACTATCTACCACCGGGAACTAACCTGTCTGAGATTTTGCGGATGCTATGGCAGAGATAAAAACTTTTCATGGCATCCCACACAACCAAGATTAGGAGTTTTTTAAAAAAAAAATCTTGATGCTGCAGCCAGAGTTGGTATGAGACACTCACCACTGGTTCTCTAGCCATTTTTTAATCTAGTAAAATATGGCCAAACCGTACGGCAGTGAGTCTCTCTCCCTTCCGCAGGAAGGGTAGTGGTGCTAGTCCAGTATTGGCAGTGCATGCAATGTGGTACTGTAATGCTAATTGCATGAGCTAAAATTATGATGGTATTATTTTAGCAGGCACAGACTAACTAACAGACACCGCTGTTACCTTATTTTCTTAAGTCTGCAGCCTGGATGTTTCAGTCTTTCACAAAGCACCTTCACTCCTGAATCTCCCAGTTGGCGATTCCACTTCAGGTCCAGCTCTGTCAGGACCTGATTCATACCAAGAGCAGAAGAGAGATCCCCACAACAATCAGCTGTGAGATCACACCTAAACAAACTGCAGGAACCAAAAACAAAGAGGAAAATTACTTCTCATTTCTTCCCTGCTCAGTTTTTATCTACTGATGTCAATGGGAGTCTAGAAAGAGTTTATTCATTCTGGAAGTGTAGTTTAAATGATATTGCTCTTGTAGGATGCTGTAAAGATGCAAACACTGTATTAAATTGCTACATAAAACAGAAGCATAGGTCTGAGCACAGAAAATAGTGTTGTGAGACTTGGGGCTGAGGGTAGGGGGAGAGTCAAGTCCAGCCACTTGACCCTGATAATTGCTGGGACTTCAGCCCATCTACTCAGTGCCCATTGAGAGGTGTCCATTGGTCCACAATGCTTTCTGATAGGGTGGGGACCAGATCTTTAACATTTTTAGGTAGCGTGCCTCATCTGCACCTGGAATGCAGGATTCCAACTGCACCATTAACCCTAAGGGACAGGTATGAACTGCTGATGTGTGTGTAGGGTGGGGGGGGCAAGGAACAAGCAGTTCAGTACAGAAAGAAGGATTGCCAATGAAACCCTCCAAATTAGCAGGTTCTCTCCTCCTAGGGTGACCAGATGTCCCGATTTTATAGGGACAGTCCCGATATTTGGGGCTTTTTTTTTATATGGGCTCCTATTGCCCCTCACCCCCGTCCCGATTTTTCACAGTTGCTATCTGGTCACCCTATCCCCTCCCCCCACAAGCTGAGAGAGACAGAGAACTACTGGCTATAACACAGAGGTAGGTAACGAGGACTGTGATGGAGTTCAGGGGGTAAAGAGTTTGGGTGACACAATTCTAAGAGTTTCACTGCCCTCGATGGCTTTTATAAGCAGTGTTATCCCCAGTCCATCAGTCTCATACCCAGGCTAGAGGATTCCTTCAGTGCATGAGATAATAATATTTAAACCCAAGATTGAGAAGTGTCAGATCCAATTCTTCAATTCAGGATCATCTTTTTAAAATTCATCATTTCCAAACAGAACAACATCTTACAGGCTGCACCCATGTTATGGGCCAGTGATATGTCAAGTGCTAGAGACATTCTCAGCTTTCAGAATCTCTGTGTACCTGAAAGGAGATGGCATCACACATGACCTGCAAACTCTTCACATAAAGTAAAGCCTGTAAACGCTTACCCCAGTGTCTGCAGTTTACAGTCTGGATGTCTCAGTCCCTTACACAATTGCTTCACCCCTGCATCGCCCAGTTTATTCAAGTTCAGGCTCAGTTCTATCAAGGTCTGGCTGGTGCTGAGAACAGAGGAGAGCACCCCACAACAGTTGGCTGTGAGACCGCACTTATCTAACCTGCAGGAGAGAGTAGCACAGAGAGGACATGATCACAGCTTTTGTTTTAAGAAGTAAAATTGCCTTCTAGCCCATCTCCCTAGCCAATGAGCACTGAGACTAATAAGAAGCCAGATTGATTGTGGCTTCCCACTTAAGCCACATCACTCACCCTTCACTGTTGTCCAGTCAGCATTAAGAATGGTCCAGCTGTCTAGACCTCAAAATTCTGCCATTGGCCAGTTAACAAAAAACTTTGGAGTTTGACTTCCTGTCTAAGCAGCACGGACCCTAGCCCTTTCCACAGACAGCCAAAATTTAGGATGGATTGATGGCCACCCCGTGGTTCTTCCCATTCACCCCTCTCTCTCCGCCCCACAATCATTTCCTCTGAGAGATGTCATTTCATGGTCAGAAAAAGTCAACCACCAACTCCTGTTCACCAGCTGTGTTTCCTCAACACATCTAACTGGGTTTTAGCCCCTGCTATAGACTTCCCTTCGGGAGTCCAGATCATTATGAAAATGTAGTGCCTCTGAACAGCTTGTCTGAAACAAAGTATTATTTATCCATCCATAGGAACATAAACTGGGAGGAAAAGAGTAAAAACTATAAACACCCTATACACGTCTTACCTAGGCTTAGCATCTCCCTCATGACTGATGTAGGCCTGACATAGCCTTGATTACCCCTCCCCACATCTTGTTCTCCTGGGGGCCTTATAGCCTGCTACTCTGCAGACCTTCTGCATCCTCTGTCTCAGAGGCTCAGCGTTTATACACTTTCAAGCTCTTCATGCAAGTCTTCCTGCTGGACCCCATGGAGTTCACAAGATGGGACCTCACTCACCCAGCCAAATCCCCTGATTCCACACTGGTAGAGGTGAACTTCAAAGGAATTAACACCTCCATCCTCCATGTCAGTACCAGCAATTGGGGCCATCTACAGTCATTGTCTTGGTTACCATTTAGCAAGCAATACAATAACCAAACTCTCACACAGACAAAATTAATACAGATATCTCCCACGTACTTCAAAGAAGTTGGGTATAGCAGGTCCATCCCAGCAAATGTCAGAGGCTGCCTCTAGTTGTGGCTGTTTCACATCAAAGTTTTGTGTGGGAGGAAGAGTGATCTGTCATCACCCCTTCCTCTTCTCCCCAGCACATTAGATTCGGAGCCTAGGAGAGGGGCCAGTGTGGGCCATGCCAATGCGCGGGCAGTCACATGACCCACTTCACCCCTCCCATGTGTCGCCCCTGGCTCGTAAATCAACAGCCTCCATTAGCTAACCTGGTTACCCCCTGCCAATGAAGGATTTTTGCCTACAAGACATTTGTTTTGTCTGGACAATTTTTTAATGTCCCAAGTAATAGAGCTACTAACATATCGGTGAGGAGACTCTTCCATGGGCTAACTGGATATTTCAGGCGCATCACTGATCTAAAGCAAACACCCTTCACTCAGATATGCCTCCCCCACCTCGTGCCTTCATGCATGGTTTACTCATTCTCTCTCCCCACCCTTCCCACTCTGAATGGGACAAGGCCGACTCCCTGCAGGGCACTGCGGAGGGGGAGAAGTGGAGCCACCAGCAACTGATCATTTCAGAAGGGGAAAGGAGCTGCTGCATCTCCTCCCACCCTGCTCAGTGAGGCCCCAGCGACCTCCCTCCTCACGAGGGTTCAGGAAGGTGAGTGCGCACTGACAGAGAGAATCTGAAGCTCACTGGCTCCTCCAACAGGGAAGAGAGTGGGAAACCGGACAGTGCCATGACCCATGCGCAAGGGTGGACAGAAGGTTATTGGCAGATGGCTCATAGCTACACATACCCGTGCCTGAAGGGTGTCCTTCATATCAGGTACCTGAAGGGATCTGGCAACACACACCAGCTATACATCCTGTCAGATTCTTAAAGGACGCATGAAAATTCTTACCACAGTTTCTGCAGTTTGCAGTCTGGATGTTTCAGCCCCGTACACAGCAGCCTCACACCAGAATCGCCCAGTTCATTTAAATTCAGGTTAACCTCAGTCAGGGTCTTTCTGGTAGTGAGAACAGAGGAGAGCTCCCCACAGCAATCAGCTGTAAGTTCGCAACCCCACAATCTGCGAGAGAGAGATGGAAAATAACTAACTCTGTCTTTCCTGACTTCTAGAGAGGAACTTTTCTCAGGCAACAACATGCCGGTACTGTGGTACTGGGAGAATCATAGGTTATGTCTGCACTATGGGACTGGAGGTGTGATTCCCTGCTTGTGCAGTTGTACCCATAGTAACTCAAGCAGAGCTAGGACACTCAAATTAATGCAGCTGTGGTGGTACAGTCATCAGAGGCACAGGCTAGCCACCCGAGTACATAGGCTTGGTATATGTCAACATAGTATATAGACTTATCCATCCTCTAATTCACTCACTTCTCTGCATAAATTATCCATGTAATCCATCCATCAGAAAACAACTACTTCCGAACCCAGTGGTTCTCAACCAGGGGTGCGTGTACCCCTGAGCGTACACAGAGGTCTTCCAGAGTATATCAACTCATCGAGATATTTGCCTAATTTTTACAACAGGCTACATAAAAAGCACTAGCAAAGTCAGGCCTTGGCTACACTTGGGGGGGAGGTTCGAACTAAGATACGCAACTTCCGCTACGCTATTCACGTAGCTGAAGTCGGAGTATCTTAGTTCGAGTTACCTGGCCATCCTCACAGGAGCGAGTTGACCGCGGGGGCTCCCCCGTCGACTCCACTTACTCCTCCTGCCGAGGTGGAGTACAGGCATTGATTTATCACGTCTAGACGAGATGCGATAAATCGATCCCCATAGATTGATCACTACCCACCGAGCCGGCGGGTAGTGAAGACATACCCTCAGTTTCATACAAACAATGACCTGTTTATACTGCTCGATATACTATACACTGAAATGCAAATACAATATTTATATTCCAGTTGATTTTATAATTATATGGTAAAAATGAGAAAATCAGCAATTTTGCAGTAATAGCGTGTTGTGACATTTTTGCATTGTTATGTCTGATTTTTGTAAGCAAGTAGTTTTTAAGTGAGGTGAAACTTAAAAACAAGACACATCAGACTCCTGAAAGGGGTTCAGTGGTCTGGAAAGGTTGAGAGCCACTGTCCTAACCAATTTTCCTAAAGCCCCCTACCCCTGAGTGTTCTGTTTGTACAGCACCTAGCACAATGGAGTCTCAGTCCAAAACCAGGACTCCTAGGTGCTATGGTACTACTAATACCAATGAGGGAAAGCCCAAGAAAATTGAGTCTTACAGCATGCTCTGAAAATCACCAAACCTGAGTTATCAGACCTAAGGGTTCAGGACAGCGTGTTCAAGAATAAAGGGCACTTCACAAAAGACACTAGATCCCTTCCTTTTAAACCAGCTTAGCTGAAGTTCCTCCACCGACTGCAACTGTGGTGGTATCACATGAGGAGAAGGCTCCAAGAGAGATGATCTGTGTCCCAAAAGCGTCTAGTTTTCAGTGAAGAGACTGTCTTCCTTGGTGTTCATACAGTGCCCAGCACAGTGAGGCTCCACTGGGCCCTCTGAGTACTCTTGTCACACAAATAAAAAAAAAAAGTTAAGCGCAATACCAATACGACACTGAGAGTCACAGAAAGGTAGGGCTGGAAGGGACCTCAGGGGATTCCATCCCCCTGTGCTGAGGCAGGGTTAAGTCAACCTAGACCATCCCTGGCAAGTGTTTGTGTAACCTGCTCTTAAAACCCTTCCATGACAAGCATAGCACAACCTTCCCAGGTAATTTGGTATAGCAGCCTCAGACTGCAGAAAACCAGCTGGTACTTACACTATTTTTTGCAATCCGCTATTTTGACATTTTAGCCCTTCACACAGCAGTTTCACTCCTGAATCTCCCAGTTGATTCCACTTCAGCTCCAGTTCTGAGAGGGTCTGGTTGGTACGGAGCATGTGGGAGAGAGACCCACAACAACCAGTTGTGAGACCACACCTCTCCAACCTGCAACAGCCAGAGATAAACAGAAGAAAATCACTTATTTCTGCTCAATTCATTGTGTTTCACTCACTAAGGTCAAAAAGCATCTAAAAAGATTTTTTTTCTTTATTCTGTAAGGTTAAAGTTGTGTTGCTGAGGAGGATGAAAGTCTTGGGGAAGAGAACATCAGAGTCCTCTCCTCTCTGTGAAACAAACCAGCAGTTGGGACTCTCCTTCCACATGACGTCACGGTATCCTCTTGCACTAAGGAACCCCAATTATTAAGTATAGACAGGTACCAGTAATGGGGGATTCAGTTATTAGAAAAATAGATAGTTTGGGATTTGTGATCATCAGGAGAACCGCATGGTCAATTGCCTGCCAGGTGTGAAGATCGCAGACTTCAAGACATCTCAATAGACTTATGTACAGTACTGAGGAGGAGCCGGTGGCAGTTCTTTTAAATGCTTCCAGTTCCACATGCAGAGACAGATAACGTACGGATTGTGACGTTGCACTCTATATGATTTTATGAAAATATGCTAATGAGTGTGAATGTAATGTAACTGGAATATGCTTTGTGCAAAAGGTCGTTTGTAAAGTATCATTACAAAGCTTATAATCTACTGAGTGTGGTCCTCCAATTTGTATAAATGTATCACTCTTGTATCTGAAACTAGAAATATGAAATATAACTCTGAGGTCCTACTATAGTAATACAAAGTGTGGGCCATTAATGGGGGTTTGGAATCTTGATGGCTCCCATCAACCAGGACAATTGACTGTGGATGGCTCCGTTTGCTTGCAGGCCTTCCTGTGAATCAGGCTGGGAAGAATGAGGGCTTGAAATCTTACAGTGACATGTGATCATGTCACCTGAACTGGAATCCATCTTTAACCTGGCGCTTTTCCATTTAGAAGGAAGGGTGGGAACCCAGAGAGGCACAAAGGATTCCCGCCTTATGCAAAAGATATATAAGGGGGTGGAACAGAACAAAGGTGGCTGCAATCATGAGAAATCCCCTAGCTACCTCCTGAGCTGGAACAAGGGCTGTAGAAAGGATTGTGCCCAGACTAGGAAGGTGTCCAGTCTGTGATAGAAGCTTATTGAAACATCTGAGAGTGAGGTTTTATCAGTATTCAGTTTTCTTACTGTATGAGGCTTAGACTTGCGTGTTTTGTTTTATTTTGCTTGGTAATTCACTTTGTTCTGTCTGTTATTACTTGGAACCACTTAAATCCTACTTTTTGTATTTAATAAAATCACTTTTTACTTATTAATTAACCCAGAGTATGTATTAATATCTGGGGGGGGGGGGGGAACAGCTGTGCATATCTCTCTATCAGTGTTATAGAGGGCAAACAATTTATGAATTTACCCTGTATAAGTTTTATACAGGGTAAAACAGATTTATTTGGGGTTTGGGTATCTGAGTGATGGAGACAGGAACCCATCTTAAGCTGTTTTCAGTTAAGCCTGCAGTTTTAGGGGACATGGTTCAGACCTGGGTCTGGGTTTGCAGCAGGCTAGCGAGTCTGGCTCAAACCAGGCAGGACACTGAAGTCCCAAGCTGGCAGGGGAAACAGGCTCAGGAGTCGTCTCAACACATCAGTTGGCAGTTCCCAAGGGGGTCTCTGTGATCTGACCCGTCACACGGAGGACATAGGGAAAGGTAGTAGAGAGGTCCCGGAGGACAAATTTAGGCTGCTAAGTAAGAAAGAGACTAAAGTCCAGGACCTCTTTGGGAGGATTCTTTTAAATGCTTCCAGTTCCACATGCAGAGACAGATAAGACAGACAGAACCACAAGGTCTCAATGCGTGGATGAGACAATGATGTTCAGAGAAGAGATTTTGGTTTATTTACGAACTGTGCAACCTTTTAGGAAAGGAGGAGCCTGCACAGGAAGGATGGGCTCCACCTAAACCAAAACAGAACCAGATTTTTGGCATATAAAATTTAAAAGATCATAGAGGAGATTTTAAACTGAGGGTTGGAGGGAAAGCCGACAGGTGCAGTGGAGCACATGGTTTGGACAGAGACACCTCTTAAGGGAGGATTTATTAAAGGGGATATTCTATTTCCTAGTAAAGAGGAGACGACAGAAGTTGATAAAGTACAGGTAAACTACAGGCTGTTGTGGAGAATCCTTTACATTGGTCTTCGCTGCAGAGGATGTGAGGGAGATTCCCACACCTGTAGCCATTCTTTTTAAGTGACATATCTGAGGAATTCTCCTAGACTGAGGTATCACTAGAGGTGGTTTTGGAATAAACCAATAAATTAAATGGTAATAAGTGAACAGGACCAGAGGTCCTCTGGAATGGTGGTCAAAGCATGAAGGGGCATATGAATGTTGAGCAGATCTGGCAAGTAAATATCTTGCAATGCTGTCTACAATAGTGCCATGTGAACCCCTGTTCTCACTTTCAGGTGACATTGTAAATAAGAAGCAGGCAGAATTATCTCCCATAAATGCAAACAAACTTGTTTGTCTTAGTGATTGGCTGAACAAGAAATAGGACTGAGTGGACTTGTAAGTTCTAAAATTTTACGTGGTTTTATTTTTGAGTGCAGTTGCCTGAAAAAATTATTCTATATTTGTAAATTGCACTTTCACGGTAGAGATTGCACTACAGTACTTGTATGTGGTGAACTGAAAAATACTTTTGTTTCCTTTTTTACAGTGCAAATATTTGTAATCAAAAATAATAATGTAAAGTGAGCACCATACACTTTTTATTCTGCCTTGTAATTGAAATCAATATATAAAAATGTAGAAAACATCCAAAAATATTTAAATAAATGGTATTCCATTGTTGTTTAACAGTGCAATTGAAACGATTAATCACAATCCATTTTTTTAATTGTTTGACAGACCTAATTTTTCATAATGCACAAACGCAAGGGGGCCAAATTAAGGATGCAAAGGCAACCTTCATTCTGGTGTTTCCTAACTTTCAACTACTTAATTTTGCAACTTCAATAATGTTTTTTTTATAACACAGTTTTGGTATGTAACTGCCAAAGTTATTCTTTAAAAGGGCAAAGGGAAAAACCAGTTGTATGCTGTACCTCTGTAACAATCACTGCATCAGCAGGACCTGAACCTTCACCACAGACTTCTACCATCTGAGCCACTGTACTAGCCATGTTAGCTTGCAGCAGAAGGTGGCTGTTATCTCGGGGTGGGAAAGAAGGGGTTGTATGGGCCACAGGCAACATGTGCTGGATCCAAGGGGTGGTTGGAGCATGATGGGAAAGCTCAGCCCTTTCTCCCTCCCGCACCTGCACATTTCCAAGGAACTGTGGGAGATCCTGCTTCATGCAATGACCACAGTGGGAGAGTTGATGAGTTGCTAGAGCCAACATGCAATCTGGTTCTCGTCCACTTCTAATCCAACCAGGGGTGAAAGTAAGTGCCCAGATTTACCAGAACGCCAGGGTTCTGGGCAAGGTGGGGGAGCAGCTCTGGGCCCCCAGAAGGGGCGGGGCCTTGGGTACAAAGGGCGGGGCTGGGGACCAGACTCCACCAGCCAGCCCTTCATGGCTCCTGCTGCCACAGCAGCCAAGAGCCCAGGGGCTGCAGCAGTGATTTGAAGGGCCCAAGGGCTCTGGAGGCAATTTAAAGGACCCGGGGATCCCGGCCACTGCCGCAGCAGTAGCAGCAGCCAGGAGCCCCAGGCCCACCGCTCCTTTTGCTCCCCACCGTCGGCAGCCCTGCCGGTAGGGTTCAGCAGCGCTGCTGCAGCACTTTAACGGCGGCCATTTACGGGCCGGTAGTGGCAGCCGGTTCTGACCGGTCCGCCGTACTGGCCCTTACTGGCCCACTTTCACCTCTGCCTCCCACACCACGCTCTGGGCAACTCTTTCAGGCCTGCTGTAAACAATGGAGCAGTTAGAGCTTTACAAAAAAAGAAAAAAGGCACAAGAATCTTTTCTACTGGAAGAGGTTAGGACACCTCAACATAGGGGTTGCAACCAGCTTCCCTTATAGTATTGTTACCCCCTTTTAACCCAAGCAGTCAGCTGGCTTTTGGAGTCCTGTGGGTCATTTCTGTTAGGAGAGGAAATTGATGAAGGAGTCAGGTATTTCTTTGTAAATAAACAGGGTTTCATCAGTGTGTTGTTTGCCTCTTTAATCTAGCACAGGGGTTCTCAAACTGTGGGTCGGGACCCCAAAGTGGGTCATGACCCTGTTTTAATGGGGTCGCCGGGGCTGGCATTAGACTTGCTCGGGTCCGGGGCTGAAGCTTCAGCCCAAGAGCTTCAGCCCTGGGTGGTGGGGATCAGGCTTTGGCTTTGCAGGCTCCCCCACCCAGGGCTGAAACCCTCAAGATTTTCTGTTCCCCCGCAGCCTAGGCCAGCAGGGCTCAGGCTTCAGCTTTGCAGGCTCAGCTTTGGTCCCCTTTCCCAGGGTCATGAAGTAATTTTTGTTGTCGGGGGGGGTAAGGGGGGGGTCGTGGTGTAATGGAGTGTGAGAACCCTTGCTCTAGCACTGAGCCCTAAAGTTCTGTCTTTGCTTTTCTCAGGCTCACACTATAGGTATCTCTCTGGGTGTGTCTAACTTTCTGCTGCTTCTCCCCCAGACAGCGGCACACAGCTCCACCAATCAATAGCCCAGCCCCATGTTCACTTTAGCAGTCTTTAGGGAAACTATTTGGTTCCTTCAGCCACATGGCTCAGCTTTTACTCAACACTTGTGTCAAGCTTCCCTCCCCACTCTGAACTCTGGGGTTGACAGATGTGGGGACCCACATGAAAGACCCCCAAGCTTATTTCTACCAGCTTAGGTTAAAAACTTCCCCAAGGCACAAATCCTTCCCTTGTCCTTGGACAGTATCGCTGCCACCACCAAGTGATTTAGACAAAGATTCAGGGAAAGGACCACTTGGAGTCCTATTTCCCCCCCAAAATATCCCCCCAAGCTCCTACACCCCCTTTCCTGGGGAGGCTTGAGAATACTATCCTCACCAATTGGTGCAGATGAGCACAGACCAAACCCCTGGGTCTTTAGGACACTGAAAATCAATCAGCTTCTTAAAAGAAGAATTTTATTTTAAAAAAGTAAAAGAATCACCTCTGTAAAATCAGGATGGAAGGTAATTTTACAGGGAAATAAAAAGATTTAAAACACAGAGAAGTCCCCTCTAGGTTTAACTTCAAAGTTACAAAAAACAGGAACATACCTCCCTCTAGCATACGAAAAATTCACAAGCCAAAACAAAAGATAATCTAATGCCTTTCCTTGGTTTACTTACTATTTTTGTAATCCTAGATGCTTATTTCTGATTGTCTATAAGAGATAAATTTTTCTGCCCTGGTCCCTCTCTGGCTCAAGAGAGCACACAAACAAAGAGGACAAACACAGCCTTTCCCCACAGATTTGAAAGTATCTTCTTTCCCCACTGGTCCTTCTGGTCAGGTGCCAAATAGGTTATTTGAGCTTCTTAACCCCTTTCAGGTAAACCTCTGGCTAGGAGGGATTTTATATTACTGCACACATAAAGGTTGTTACCCTTCCCTTTATATTTATGACAACTTGCCCTCTGCCTACATTTTGGGTGACATCCCCATTGTTTCAGCCACCTATTTCCTAGCAGAGCTCAATTGCTTTCTACATTTATTCCGAATGTAGGTCCTCTGTTCGCCAGACACAGTCCCTGCTTTTAAAAGGTGTCCCGATATGACTTTCCAACATAGTCTTTTCTTTTTACAGAGGCTATCCTCAAATTCTCTCTAGCAAAGGGTGTGAACTTCTCAGTCTTGGGCTGTAGGGTTTCTACACAGTGAAAGTCCCTTTCTTCCTCTTCAGGAACTCCCTACAAGAGGTTTGCTGGGGTCTGCAGCTCATGCCCAACCACAAGGAGTCCTGAGGTACATTCAATATTCTCATTGACTGCTGTTCCATAAGCCATCAAAAGGAATGGGATATGTTTTACAAGGGTACCCAGCTGAACCCCAGAGTCCTTCTGAGCTTTTCTACCATCCCATTAGAGTGTAGGTGGGATGGGGCGGGAGGAGTTTTGTGAATCCTTTGAATCCCATACATTTGCTGAACTACTTTGGATTCAAAGTTTCTCTCTTGATCTTTGTGCAATTCACCCGGGACCCCAATTTCGGTGAAGAATTCATTCACTAGGACCCCAGTTAGTGTCACAGCCTCTTGATTTCTTATTGGAGAAGCTTCAGCACATGTATTAATTCACAAAATCACTACAAGCAAATATTGATTACCAGTCTGTCCTAGGCATGAAGGCCCAAGCCCATCAACAGCAACACACTACATTGGCTCCTGCACCAGATACTGCTGCTTTGGGGCTCTCCTGGGGCCTTTCTTTGCAATATAAGCATCACATTTCCTGCCCCTATTTTCTGCATCCTTTCTACATTTTACCCAACAGAAATTCTCTCTTAGCTTGGCTAAGGTTTTTACATCCCCAAAATGCCCAGGAGTTTTAAAATCATGACAGAACCTCAATTTTCAATGGATCTGGTACCTGTACCCTCACCTGTCTTTTTCCCATCTCCCATACAGTATTGCATCTTTAATCTCCAAGTTTTACCACTTAGCTTTCAACTGTGCTGTGGTGATGTTGGATCATATTAAAGAAGTTCTGTATTAAAATCACAAATGAGTTTGATTCCCCATAGTTTAAATTCCAGGGTATTACTAATTAAAAGGTCTCTTGGTTTTTGGTACTGTTTCTCTCCCTCTCTGTGTGAAACTTGCAAGCTGCTAACTGTGTTAGTACATCCTAAAACAGAGTCTGTTCTCAAAGCAATTCTTTGTAACAACAACTACTCACACACAGAGAGCCTCAAAGCAATACTCTGTAACAACAGAAACAGCACCCAGAGACTCCCCGCCCTTTTGTTGTATTCATCTCACTTTGTTAACAATTGTGATTAAAATAGAGATAGAGGATGTATGTGGATGGATGCTTGGTGTGGATAATAACTGAATGATCAGGGAGGTGCCAGCCTAAGAATCCAATGTCCATCGGCTGAAGAAGGCGTCAAGTGGAAATAACCAGAGGACCCCCGAGGGCAGACTGGAATCCACCCAACAGCCTCAAGAATGGGAGAACCAAAGAACAAGTTAACATCTGGCAGCACGGAGCCGTCAGGAATGTGCCATCTGCTGATTGATTCAGCAACAGCACGATGAAGCAATTCCCATAGACTGGCATAGGAAGAAATTCCTATAAAAATGGACTCTAGAAAGTGAAAACTTTGGGGTCTGATTCTGCAAACTAACTTCCAGGAGCATCAGATGAGCATCTGACAAGGCCCTGCTCCCTCCTCATGTCCAGGCCACCTGGCCAGTGGCTTGGCATGAGCAACTCTAAGGCTGGTAACTATGATAACAACCTTGCAGAACCTGTGTGTGTATGTGCGTGTGTATGAATGAATGTGTGAATCAATGTGAAATTGAATGGAATGTTATAGCTATAACTAACTGCTTACTGTGATTCTTTCTGTATTCACAATAAATGTGGCATTTTGCCTTTTCCCCTTTAATAAGATCCTGCTGGTTTTTATTTTATTGGTATAACAGTGAGGGGATGCACCTTGGAAAGTAGCCTGAGATTAGCAATGGATTTTTCTATCATGCACCATTCTGATATCAGGATCCTCTCTTTGGGAAGCTTTCTGTTGCTCTAAAGTTCATTCCTGCAACTCCGTATCACTGGTTCCAGGAGATAAACAGGAGATTCTCTAACCTGCAGAAGAATGGAGCACAGAGAGAACACATGTTCTGGCTGTTCTAATAAGTGGCCTTCCCTGGTAGCCCCAACTCACTGACTAATTAGCATCTACACAGTTACTTCATTCCTGCAACCCCGTATCACTGGTTCCAGGAGATAAACAAGGTACATTTGCTCTTCTGTAAATTATAGGAAGACAGGAGACAGCCACCTCTTCCTGAGCACGCTCATGCATGTGAGTTACCAATTCCTTGCTCTCCTGCTTAGGGCAGTGTTTGCAATAAGCCTCTCAAGACAGCCAACTGGACAAGGCATCAACAGGCGTCAGCTTTACCACGTTTGTGCCCAGGCTTTTACGTAACTTTGAAATCACAGCACTGCAGTTTTTCCAACCACCTGGCAAATTGCCCTTCAGGATTCCTAAAACTGAAAAGCCCATTCATTTCATGATTGCATGGTCTGTCCCAACCATAATCTTCCTCCCATGCAAATAGTGATGAAAATATTCTATAGATGTAAACGTTGCCAGGAAATCCTTTTGCATGGAGCAATAATTTCTCTCCTGGGAATTTAGATTTTTGCTGTAATAAGCCACCACCTTTTCAAATCCGTTGTGTTCTTGTGTCAACGCTGCCCCCAAATCATAAGCACTAGCATCTGTTTGCAGCATGAAAGGGGTTTTGCAACATGGGTAGGCCAAGATAGGAGCAGTCACAAGCATTTCAATTCTAAAAATGCTAAATCTCACACTGCTGAGCAGTCAAACCATTTCCTTCTCTCACCTCACCATTGAAATCCTTTGGAAAACCCAAAGAGGACCCTTCTGTAACTGAACCAAAGCCCCACAGACCTCTGCACATCTGTGAGTGTCTGCGAGCTCTGCAAAGCTTGAGTTTTCTGTCAGTGGAAATTCCCAACCCCCATCACAGATTGAGTCTCTCTTTTTGGAACAACTCACATTTCTTTGGCTTCAGTTCCAGAATGGCAGCCCTTCAGCTTATCACAGACCATTTGTAAACATACCAGTTTTTGTTCAAAGGTTTTATCATGCACTAGGCTATCACCATGGGATGATGCCTGTCAGACAGAAATTAGGTCTATTGGGATATTTAGGATTCTCGGATACCATGGGGCTCTGTACTTTTGTTTTAAATGAAAATTAATGTAAAATAACTTTTAAAATAACAAGTACTTAAACTAGGCTATTATCAAAAAGAGTAATATGATGTTCCAATTTTTCTTGGAAAATGCATTGTGTTTGATTTTCTTTATTAAAAAGTTTAAACTGTTTTCCCCTGAGTTCAGAGGGGTTCAGACAGAGTGCTCTTGTTTAAACTCATTCTTATCTAAATTCTCTCTGTTATAAACCTTCCTGGCTGCACACGCAATGTGAATTACTGACATGTTAAGTCCTAGAGACACACTTGTTTTTCAGTCTCCTCATACACCTAAAATCAGCTAGCCACATATACATGGTGGGCTATGTATATACTTGTGGCTACTTACCTGAGTGTTTGCCGTTTGGATGTTTTAGTCCCTTACATAGGTCCTGCACTCCTCGGTTTCTCTGGTCATTATAGCTCAAGTCCAGCTCTCTCAGGGTCTGATTAATGCTGAGAGCAGAGGACAGATCCCTATAACAAGCAACTGTGAGATTGCACTTCTCTAACCTGCAGAAGAATGGAGCACAGAGAGAACACATGTTCTGGCTGTTCTAATAAGTGGCCTTCCCTGGTAGCCCCAACTCACTGACTAATTAGCATCTACACAGTTACTTCATTCCTGGGAAAATATAAGTAAAAAGAAGATTTTAAAACAGGGAAAGGAGAAAGTGGGGGGAGGTTTAGGTTGGATATTAGGAAAAACTTTTTCACTAGGAGGGTGGTGAAACACTGGAATGCATTACCTAAGGAGGTGGTGGAATCTCCTTCCTCAGAAGTTTTTAAGGTCAGGCTTGACCAAGCCCTGGCCGGGATGATTTAGTTGGGGATTGGTCCTGCTTTGAGCAGGGGTTTGGACTAGATGACTTCCTGAGGTCCCTTCCAGCCCTGATATTCTATGAAAGTTTCTTACTTCAATATCTTTAATTTGCAGTTTGGATCCTTCAGTGCTTGACACAGCAGGTAGACAGGTGAATTATTTGGTTCAGCCTGTTCTTGCCTAGAAAAAAAAATGGAAAATAGATTTTTAAATTTCTTTCCTGAACATGGCACTTTGAATGGGGCTTCTATATGAAGTATATGGATTTTGCTACATTTGCAGTTCATTGTAAGTTCCCCTAAAGAAAAATATATTGAGCTCAGAAAGATGCACTTTCAATATCACAGTCAAATTGTACAACCTATTCTAAGTGGAACCAGTTCATTTTCTGTACCTGCAGTACAGTGGTTATTTGGACATTCACATGCTGTATTAGGCATTCATGCAAGTTGTGGTCTCTGCAAAGATTATTTGCTTTTGGGTTCCTGAATAAGGGTCTGGTTTTCTCTGACGCTGAGCAGCCATAACTTCTATTGACATCAACTGGAGATGCTGGCGCTTAGCACTTCTGAAACTCAAGCCCTGATTGCTTATCACTTTTAAAGATGCAATAAAAAAAAATCAGAGGAATTTTACTTAAAGTCTTATAGTGATTTAACTTCAGAAAGCATAACTCCAATTACACTGTACTGAGTTTAGCATCATTTCAGTTATCAGAAAGGGCAGCTATTTAGGTCCTGACTCCAGAGAGCAGCAGCATGGGTCAAGGACATTTTATGACAGCACATGTATATAAGTAGTACAGTGAGACAAATTTTGAAAAAAAATATTTCTCAAAGTATGTGGAACAATAACCCCCTCCCAGACATATGTCAGTGAAATATACAAGTTATTTTCTCACCCTAATACTTCGTCTTATTGCCTTTATTTAAGTCCAGCGTTCTGCCTTTTTGCATTTATTTAACGTATTTAGAAGTACACTAGCAGCTTTGTATAATTAAATTTTGTTTAGAATGTGTGCTAAATGCATTAGACTATTTCCCTCTGAAGAGGAAAATGCATAAAATATATTCGTAATGATTCTTGTAAGGTTTAATTAAATAGAAGAAAAAGATAGCCTCTTTCACAATGTCTGAATGGTGCCAAAAATGCACACCAGCCAGTAAGTGATACCTAGGGGGTCCAGAAAGGGAGGAAAGAGTAGAAGGGACTTTGGATTCATATGACCATGTCATTGGACAGAAAGGAAGTGGGGAATAAGGCAGTCTGGTTGGTGCAATATTGAAAGGGTGAGGACACTTGTAAAAAAAAAAATATATATATATATATATATATATATATATATGGTGATGGAAGAGAACAGTATTATTATTAGTCAGATACTTGCAACACTGAGTCAATACTTAAAAACTTCCACTCGGATCAACTCCTGTTAAAAGATAGGGTTCTCAGGCAAAGACTGCCGATCTTTTACATCCCAATATTTAAAAATGCATGGAGAGTGTTTTTAAGCTAGCTTTAGCACTGAAACAGCTGGGAGCTGAAAATTGATACAAGGCATGAAAATACACCTCACTAATGAGAAACATCTTTACATAGTCCATAAAAGGTAGGCTTTGATTGGATAGTCAATGACACCATGTCATATGACAGAGCTAGAGAATCACAGAAAGAAAGAATGACTCTCTTTTCACATTGAAAAAAGAACAAAACAGAACATTATTCCCACCGCTACTGTCTTTTTCTGCTTCACTGTAGATGTTCGCCTGGAACTTCTCCCAGTTCCCTGCGGCTGGCGTCCTATTATAGATTTAAAGAAACAACACATGTATACCCACACTCTAAAGATTTTAATTGTTTTTTAGATCTCTGTAGCCTTGGGAAATTGGTATGTTTTGGCGGGGAGTAATACTTCTGTTGCCACCACCCCCGTGCCCTGACTTAGTCAGATCTGGGTTTTCGTTTGTGTTGTAAGAAAATATACTCATGCATCTTGATGAAGTTTTTGGTGTGAAAATATAAAATGCTATATGTACATTTAATGTCATAGCTTTGTATCAGTTATTAGATTTATACATGGAAGAAACTAATTCTTAGACATTTTCAGACATCTTTATAGCTTTTAAAAAAATCTTTTCTGGCCACAAAAGTTTGTGGTGTCAGCCAGCATGCCACATTTCAGAAAAGTATTCTAAACCTGTTCTACTTTTATTGTACAGAATTATATATCAGGCACACAGTGTACCTGAAACAAAAGCGGAGGACTAGTTATGCCTTTCAGCTAGCAAAAGTAACACTACTGTCAATATTAAAGCATAGAGAATATGCCCCATTCCCATTTAAACTAAGTCCACTTATTCCCCTCACTTTGAGTGTAAGGGTAGTATATCCTTTACCACAGTGATGTAAAGTGGCCTTAATGTAAATAAGAATCAGGTTCAATAAATAAATCTCAGCGTTAACAGTCATATTTCTTTAGACTAGTACAACCTGCCCATTGCTAGCTATCTTATCAGGTATGTGGTATGTATATGGAAAATGAAATAGTTACTAAGAGGGCAAAGACAAAAAAAGTGTCAGGCAAAAGACAAAAGAGTAAGGTAACTTTGGCCCCAATGCTGCAGACTGGTCCATAGAAATGGACTCTTACACACAGTAGTTACCCCTTCTTCCCCCTTCCACCCTCCAGTGGGTTTAAAGGATGTTCCACGAGTATTGGGGTCTGCTTATAGGATCAGTGCGCTTTTGTTGATACTAACACCCAGGGAAGCCTCCACAATCATGTCACTAACTTTCTGAAATTAGAATTGGTGTTTTGTTTGTGGGTCACGTAAGCCATTTGAGAATTATTAAAACAAGAAAGAAACAGGTATCACTATTAAAGAAATTTTACAAACAATTGGTGACAGTCAGCTAATACTTACAGACATAACCGCTTAGCTGGTGGTGGGGTTAATTCTTCATTCTTGTCTTCAACTCCAAATTTACATACAGACAGCCAAAGTGACTTCAGTGTAGGACAACTCTTTACAAAGAATGAAATAACCATTTGATCCATTTGGGTTAAAGGGTAATTATATATATCTATTTCGGTGAAACGATCCAAAGCACTTTTCACAAAACTTTCTTCTTGGATCTCGTACAAACAGTGAAACTCTTCAAGCTTATAAATCAGCTCATCGTGCAATGAGGAAAATGACAATTTTTTTGGTTTTACCCATTTCAGTAAATCTGGCTTTATTTTAGGTGAAATCTTCAAGCCAATTTTTTTCTCGATGTCCTTCATTATCTCTTCATTTAAGAGCCCAAACAGAAATCGCACTGTTAACATTAAATAATTTCCAGATTTTCCATAGTTTTCTAACAACAGTTTTGCATCTCTGTTGGGAGTCACTGAATATTTCATTTGTTCATCTTCCTCCAGTACATAAAACAAAGCAGCAAAAAACTCTTGAAAGCTTAAGTGAATGAAGCTGTAGACACAGACACAATCAATGTCCCTTTTAAAAACACTCTCATTCAGAAAGAGGGGGAGAGAGTAGAATTTATCTAAACCGTACTCCTTTATTTCTTCCTCCCCAAACAGTATTTTCTGTTTCCAAATTCCATCTGCAGCCAAGGAACAAAGTTTCTTCAGATTATATTGCATGTTTTGGTTTCGACTGTGGCCGTGTGGCTCTAATAAACTGTATAAGAAAAGCATATACACAGCGGTGAGTGTTTTCGAATTTTGTGCAAAATCTATACCTGCCTCCAGCTGTTGTTTCATAACCGTGCAGGTGATCCAACACACAATGGGGACAAAGCACATGGTGAAAAGCATCTCGTTTTGTTTCACAAAATCAAAGGCTTTTGTTGCATCAATATTATTCCCAAAGAACTTGTGGAAATATTCCTTCCTGTCGTCTTCAGAAAATCCCAGTATCTCTGCATAGCGTGAACACGCCATACATTGTTGGAGTTTCTCCAGAGCAGTGGGTCTCGTAGTGATAATTAAGTAGGATTTAGGAAGCAACTTTTTCCTAAATAAACTGCTCAACGTATCTTCTACTGGCATCTCCTTCCTGGGATCTGTGCCCAGACTATCTTCCTTTTGATCAAAGGAAAACCTCAGCTCATCAAAACCATCAATTATGAAGAGAAGTTTTTCTTGATTGAACAAAATCTCTTTAATTGGTACATTTCTGTCAGGACAATTTTTAGTAATTAAGTCAATCACTGTTCCTGACTTACTTCCATAGTTTATTTCTCTACAATTTATGTAGAAAATGTAAGCAAATCTGTTCTCATACACATCTCCAGAAGCCCAGTCTAACATGATCTTTTTTGCAGTCATTGTTTTTCCAATACCTGCAGCTCCCTGCAGAACAACAATTTGTGGTGTTTGTCCATTTTCATCAGAATCAAATAAAGAGTTCATGGTAACAGAAGAGCGAGCTCGTTCAGTCATGATTTTTGCATGTTTCCATCCGGAGGCCATTATTTCATGTTCTCTCTCCTTTTTGCAACGAAGCTTGCTTATAATAGTCAATTTTGTATATATTTTGCTTAGATTCACATTCTCACCAAGACGAGAGTTCCTTTCTTTTATTAACTGGTACTGTTTTTTAATATGTTCTTTATACTTCACCCTGTAATCTAAATCAGTGACAAGAAGCATTACAAACAAACAATGAACTAGAAGCTGAGAGCTTAATTTTAACACATTAATATTTTTCTATTTAAACCATAATAATAAGAGTACATAAAATGTATATAGTACCTTTTATCCTAGAGGATCTCAAATCACTTACCTATGTTCCAGACTCTGCAGCCCTAGCTTAAAGTTATATATGTGCATATACAAGTGTTTTGCTGAATTGGGGGAAATATACAGGAATGAATCCTTTCAACTACCACTGAAATGCAGCCACCTGTAAGGTGAAACCCGTCAATCACAAGTGAAAACGTAAGGGGATAGGGAAGGAAAAGTCTCACACAAGCAAGCATAAAGCCCATGGAGGTGCAAGTCAAGCCACTCTGAGTTCTAGTCCTAGCCCTTCCCCAACTGTTGGTAGTAGGTCTATGGCCTCAGACAGCTACTTAGGGGAGGTAATAATCATTCCCAGACTTTACAGATAAGACACCCAAGAGCTTGCACAAGGCAACTTCAGGAAGGACTAGGCACAGAAACCAGGTATCCAATAGACCCAAGTCTCATCCACTTTGTCACAGGGACTTCCAGAAGAATTTAACCAAGTTATGTGTTTGTGTAACAGAGTAGCTCTGTATCACCCTCCTAGGGGTGAGACCACATGTAGAGATATATGAGTGCAACTACCTTCATCCAAAAAAGACTGACCCTTTAGCTGAAGTGGTGAAGGTTCATACATTTATATCCAGAGGTCTGGTGTTCAATCCCCACAGATGACCACCAGGGTATTACACTTGGTGATACTGTCTGTAACTATTAGACAACACTGTGCTCACAGAGCCAGGAAAAGAAACCAGGAACACAGGTGCCCATCACTCCAATACTGTCTCACAAATACTCATGTAACCCAGTGACAGCGTGTGCATTTTCTCCCTGTTTGGGCTTGTTCACACAGAGGATAACAGCATGTTTTTCCACTGCCAGTTACTCCTAGGGCAAACTCCTAGGGATGATTTGATTGGGGATTGGTCCTGCTTTGAGCAGGGGGTTGGACTAGATGACCTCCTGAGGTCCCTTCTAACCCTGTTATTCTATGATTCTATGAAACATGGAAGAGATCTGGGCTGCAGATTCAAAGAGTGAGGGTGTAAAAGCCTGATGATGATGTGAGGTGGGGTGAGTGGAATACATATGAAAATTTTTGCTCTTTTTTCTGACACCAGCATTGCCCTTCTACAGAGCAGTAGCAGATGTTCAGGGCCTTGCAACGTGGCTTCCCATAAGGAGAAGAAATCAGTGATATGGAGTCTGGGTAAACTGTAAGTGTAACATGTGTGTGTAAATAAAGCACCAGCCCTGGAACAGAGGTGGTCACACAGCATGCAGGGCAATCCCTTCTTCCAGGAACAGTGGCACTTGCCATAACAATAAATATGTAGTTTTTTAAAAAGAGCAAGGGGCTTGGAACAATTGCTGGAAAGATCATATATTGAAAAACATTGTATTTAAAAGTAAATTTTAATGTTTTAAAATTCGTGGTGATGTATTTTTAGTGCTTGCATTTTGCTTAATGGAAGCAGTCCTATTACAAATAGGCTGTGACTGTTGATTATAGACTCTGTTTTCAGGAGATAGAGAGCTGTGCATAGGAAATTTTGCTTGTGTGTCCAGAGAATGGAAGACGTTGACTGTGTACGCTCCAAAAGAATCCAAATTTGACTTAATAAATGTATATTTCTAGAAAACAAGCTTTTATTCTCAAAGGTATAACATTAGCTTATCTAGAAGAGTGGATGCTCTAGGGCATTGCCGATCAACTAATGAGCCTTTCACCTTTAGGGCACCTGTTTAGGTCTTGCCCAGCTCCATAGGGATTAAAAGTCATAATAAAGAAAGTGGATTTAGTCTGTTTACATCGGTGCAACTGAGCAGAATTGGGCTCACATCTCTCCCACATAGGTTTCTACTTCCTTGGTTCCATACACAATCAGCCAAAAGGAAAAGATTCAAAAGCTGCATTAACTTTAGGTTTGCTTACCTTTCTCTATAGCCTTTCTGAGTCGAGCAGCAGAATCTCTCACACACATTTTGTCAAAAAAATATAAAGTTGCATCCACTGCATCTTCACTATAGAATTCTATCAAGAGTTGCACAAGATCTGTGACATGAGCAGCCTTGTCCAGATGATTTTTGGAGATAGTCCCTTTGCCTTCATAGTCAGTATAGCATAATTTTAATTTTAATTTTTTAAGGTCTTCCTCTGAGAGATTCTCCAGAGCATTTAGAAGGAGTTCATCCATTTCCTTTGCTTGGGTTGAGGACTCTAGAAATAATCTGAAACCGTAGATAGAGGATGATAATTAAATTACTTGAAGATCACACACTTTGTTGTTCACATAGGCTAACCTGTACACCCAGCCAGGAAGTCAGCCCCACTATAGATGGACCCCTCGCCCACCCATGCTGGTCAGAACTCTATTGATTTTGGGGAAGGAGTAATCTGAAAATCCTGATTTCCACTAAAATCAGGCTTTCCCAGTTTTCAAATTTCTCCCCAAATCAATAGGGTTCTGGCAAGAGCAGTAGGATGGGGGTCCCAGCTGGGAGCAGGGCGCATTGGCCAGAGTTAGGGAGGGACAAAGGAAAATGCTGAAATTAAAAAATTAAGTAGCAACAAAATAATGTCTGTCACCAAACCCAAGCATTAACACAGTTGACCTAGGGCAGAAAGTTTGACTCAAGGGTTAAGATTAATCTAAATAGTTCTGAAGGAGATGAATTTTATTTTCAGTTGTTGATTACTGGCTTGTATTTTGGGGTATGAGAAAGCTTTAAAATGACAAAGAAAGGGAGGTGTGGAGTTAAGCAGTATGGGATTTACCCCGGCGCCAGTGGCTCCATGGCACCAGGCCCACACTCAGAAGGGGTCCCGGTGTCCGGACTGTGGCCCCACCTCCCTCAACCCCTCCTCAGTTTGAAATGCTGTTTGAACCTTTTCCAGGTACATTCAGCATTTCCCCCGATTCTCAGGGTGGGTGGGGACATTACTTGCAGTTGCACATGCCGTTTGCTACCATTGCTACGTTATCTCTCTCTGGTCCAATACGCTGTGCCGACAACTCATGGTACCAGGTCATATCTTACTGATGAGCAGAGTGATGTCAAGGTAAACCCTGGATTACGAACAGGAGCTACGTACAGAAATGAGGCAACAAACTTTCTACTACTCTGTAGCGCTGGGGTGCAAACTACGGCCCGCAGGCCGGATCTGGCCCATCAGGGCTTTGGATCTGGCCCACGAGATAGATCATAGAATATCAGGGTTGGAAGGGACCTCAGGAGGTCATCTAGTCCAACCCCCTACTCAAAGCAGGACCAATCCCCAATTTTTTTGCCCAGATCCCTAAATGGCCCCCTCAAGGATTGAACTCACAACCCTGAGTTTAGCAGGCCAATGCTCAAACCACTGAGCTATCCCTCCCTTAGACTGCCACCCCCATGGCACCTTGGGCCCCACACCGCTGCTGGAAGCGGCTGTCACCACGTCCCTGCGGCCCCTGGGGGAGGGGGGTGGGCAGAGGGCTCCATGCGCTACCCTCACCTGCAGGCACTGCCCCCTGCAGCTCCCATTGGCCAGGAACAGGGAACCGCAGCCAATGGGAGCTTCGGGGGAGGTACCCGCAGGGGAGGGCAGTGTATGGAGCCCTCTGCCCACCCCCCTCCCCCAGGGGCCTCAGGGACATGGTGCCGGCCGCTTCTGGGAGCGGCGTGGGGCCTGCCCTAGCCCCGGTGTGCGCCACTGCCACCCCGGAGCCGCTCCAGGTAAGCGGAGCTGGGCCCCCTCCTGCATCCTGCACCCCAGCCCCCTGCCCTGAGCCCCCTCCCTGCACACCGCACCCCCTCCCACATCCCAACCCCCTGCCCCAGCCCTACATTCATGACCCTGCATGCAATTTCCCCACCCAGATGTGGCCCTCGGGCCAAAAAGTTTGCCCACCCCTGCAAAGCCAGCCACAGCCGTGTCCTCGGAGGGTTTCTTTTTGTTTACTGCACGGAAGGAAATGCATCAGCTGAGAATCAAGCCTGCAGGAAGCATCACAGAGACTGCATGTATGCAGGAAGCGGGGCACCTCTACACGTCTGGAGGACTTACTCTATAGCACAACCCCATGGTACTTTAATTGGAGAAGGACCTGACCAAAACCCTGCCAGCCCCTAAGATCCACCTTATTTAAGAAGGGGAACAAATAGGATTTGATGTGTGGCTCACAATCTCTACACTAGTGACTGATAAGTAGCACTGCCCTAGAAATTATAAAGAACTGCAGCTAAAATAATGGGAAAAACTGAAGTGTGAAAAGAAATAGGTGTTTGCAGTGACATGGCTGTGTTGGTCCTAGGATATCAGAGAGACAAGATGGGTGAGGTAATATCTTTTATTGGTAAAAGACAAGCTTTTGAGCTTACACGGAGCTGCTCTTCAGCTCTGAGAAAGATATCGCAGCTAAATACAAGGTGGAACACATAAGGAGTTAACACGTTGCAAGAGCTCACTCAAGGTGTAATGGGCAGTTAACATTTCTGCAGTCCTAGGACAAAGGAGGATTAGTGGGTTATAGAGTGACCAGATGTCCTGATTTTATAGGGACAGTCCTGATATTCAAGGCTTTTTCTTATATTGGCGCCTATTCCCACCCCCCACCCCCCCCGTCCTGATTTTTCACACTTTCTATCTGGTCACCCTAGTGGGTTACAAACTGTTGAAATGAGCCCAAGCGATCACTCTGTAGCTGACCTCTCAGTCCTCATCGTCAAAGGAAATCTGCACAATACCTTCAAAGATGAGCCTGGGAGCTTAAATTCATAACTGTGCTAGACACCAAAAAGATCATGGACTCAATAAGGACCACTGGATTTATGGTTCACCACCACAATCTATAATGAACCCCAAGAGGCAGTAGCTAGGTCAACAGGTGAATTCTCCTATCAACTTAGCACGGTCTACACTGGGGGTTAGGTCATAGAATCATTGAGTTAGAGGGGCCTGCAGGGTCGACTACTCTAACCCTGTCATAAATATAAAGGGAAGGGTAAACCCCTTTAAAATCCCTCCTGGCCAGAGGAAAAATCCTCTCACCTGTAAAGGGTTAAGAAGCTAAAGGTAACCTTACTGGCACCTGACCAAAATGACCAATGAGGAGACAAGATACTTTCAAAAGCTGGGAGGAGGGAGAAAAACAAAGGGTCTGTGTCTGTCTGTATGATGCTTTTGCCGGGGACAGAACAGGAATGGAGTCTTAGAACTTAGTAAGTAATCTAGCTAGCTATGTGTTAGATTATGATTTCTTTAAATGGCTGAGAGAAGAGCTGTGCTGAATAGAATGACTATCCTGTCTGTGTGTCTTTTTTGTAACTTAAAGGTTTTGCCTAGAGGGATTCTCTATGTTTTGAATCTAATTACACTGTAAGGTAAGTTATCTACTATCCTGATTTTACAGAGGTGATTCCTTTACTTCTATTAAAAGTCTTCTTGTAAGAAAACTGAATGCTTTTTCATTGTTCTAAGATCCAAGGGTTTGGGTCTGTGGTCACCTATGCAAATTGGTGAGGATTTTTACCAAACCTTCCCCAGGAAGTGGGGTGCAAGGGTTGGGAGGATTTTGGGGGGAAAGACGTTTCCAAACTATGTTTTTTCAGGAATCCAGATAAAGTTTGGTGGTGGCAGCGGAAGTCAAAGGGTAAAATAGTTTGTACCTTGGGGAAGTTTTAACCTAAGCTAGTAAAAGTAAGCTTAGGAGGTTTTCATGCAGGTCCCCACATCTGTACCCTAGAGTTCAGAGTGGGGAAGGAACCTTGACAAACCCCCTGCCAAGCTGCAGGATTTGTTTTGTCTAGACCATCCAAAACAGGTGGCTATCCAGTCTCCTTTTGAAAACTCCCAGTGAAGATCCTCCCTAGGCAGGCTGTTCAATTGTCCTACTGTTCCCACAGTTAGGAAGATTTTCCTGATCACTCAGGGCACATTTACACTTAAAATGCTGCATGAGCATCTCTTGCAGCGTTGGGAGAGACCCAAAGAAGCAAATATGAAATACAGATACACAGGTCAATATTCCTAATTTCAGATACAGAAATGATACATGCATACAAATAGGATACACACATTCAATAAATTGTAACCTTTCCACTTATATGTTACGTGAAGCATTTTGCATAAAGCATATTCCAGTTATGTCATATTCATAAGCATATTTCCACAAAGAATGTGGAGTGCAATGTCACGCCTGCTTTTATTATTTTATGTTTATGGTGTGGTAGTGCCTAGAAACCAGGCAGCCTTTGGCCCCATCGTGCTGAGCACAATGCAGACATATAGTAAATGGAAGTCCCTGCCCCTCACAGATAAGGACTATGGCTTGAGACATGAGCATATTATCACCTGAGTTCTAATTACTGGGGATGAGGACCACAAGCCATGTATGTAAGTGAATTTAGTGGTGGTGAAAAGTGCCAGATTAACAAGATGGGTGACCGAAGACCTATTGTTCATCTACAGAATTAGTCCCACACCAGAACGGACCATACAATTTCTCCACGACACCATGTGTTTTCCCCAGCAATGACCTGGACATTAAAGGAGTTAAAGAACAGCTCATTATGCACCTCCATCCCATCCCATCCCTGCTCTTTGTGTGGAGAATGTTAAAAAGTGGGGCAGTTAATGCCAGTTATAACAGTGGTTTCTGTGGCATGGGCATCAGTCTGCTGGCCACTGGAACATGACCCAACCATGTATGCTGCTGATCACCCATCCCACTGTAACAGTCCGTAACTGAGCCACCGTACGCCATACCCCTTTCATCGCCAGGGGTCAGGACTGAACGCAACCGCTGTAACCACCATCCACAGAGGAATCATTGGATGATTGTCAATTTCCCCACCCATCTTTGCCACTGTTAGAGAACCCATTTTTCCCCCCAAAGTAGAATGAATCTAAAACCCAGTGAAGTCAATGGAAAGACACCAATTGATTTCTATGGACTTTGGCTCAGGCCCCCACTGTACTAACTCACCTGCCACAGAGATGAGCTCAGTCTAGGTGGACTAGACAGACAGGAAGAACCTGAAGGGAAAATTTAGGCTCTTATCTATTGGCAGGAAGGGCTCTGGCTTTTGTCTGCTCTTCTGGGAACTCCACCTCCAGTGTCTGAGCTGCTGCTAACAAAACCCACAGACAGATCCATACATTCCCATTTACAAGGGCCCAATGCTGTGAGATGCTGAGTATCCTCAACTCCAAATGAAGTCAGTGGGAGTAGAGAGGACTCAATGTGCTTCAGGATCAGGCCAAAAATACACATTATAGAATATCTGAACGAATCAAATATACAGCGCCTCATGACATAAATGGTAAAATTGGATTATTAGCCCCTTCTACTACTATTGTATGAAAGGGTTTTTTGATGTATTGTATTGAAAGATATGTAGGAGAAGTGCATGTCCAGGGAAGGAGGGTGGCTAGGAATAGATTAACCAAATAGATTATAATAGATTAGCCAAAGGTGTTGGGAGGCCAGAATGGAGATGAATTATCAACATGGGTGGGTATAGAGAGGTTAATTGCAGGTAGGAGTATATAGTGAGAATTCAGATCAGCTCCCTGTGAATGGACAATCCAGTATTGGAATCCTAATCTCAGTAGCAAGGGTCAGATTTAAAAGTTCTTTTTAGATAAATAAAACATTTGAGCCCCATCTACAACCATACTCACATGTGCTGCTCTTGGAAGTTCAAATATAATTACCCTAGTCACCATCAATGCTGTTTTTCTTCCCTTCACATCCACAAATGGAGTCTTGGTAAATGGGGAACACAACCAGTGTTATTCTGGGTAACCAAACAAATCAATCACCAAACTAATTGATCATCTGGATTGTGCCCAACTAGCCTCAATTCTAGTTCACAGCAAAGCACCAGCAATGCCTCATCCTTAAATCCATCCCCATCTAACTCAAATGGATGCAGCAGATCCCCTTTGCTGTGGATTTACTCCAGCCCACTGATGTTGGTTTCTTCCAGTTTGCTCTTACACGGAGCTCAGTTACCAGCTCTTTTCTGGTTCTCTACCACCACTCCACCAGCCTAAAGCAAATACCAAATGGGCCACCAAAGACACATGACCAGAATCCAAACAATTAGATTTTAATTAGAACCTGGTTGTCTGCTTTGGGCCCAGTTACCTAGTCTGAGACCACTAACTTCTAGATTAGAGTGGCTCACTTTCCCCCTTGAATAACATCCATGAAGTCTCACACTTGCACCCCCTTTCACTCATCTCCAATTAACTAGCATTCTGTAATGCTGTTTATGAGTGTGGAACAGAGGGAAACTCTGGATGGTACAGCTTTGGGCAATCTCTGGAACTCTTCTAAGATATGCAATTATATCCACCAACACGTAGGAACAAAGTCTCAATTCACTTCACCTTCACCAGTAGGCAGGTTTCAATGGTAGCCATGTTAGTCTGTATCAACAAAAACAACGAGGAATCCAACGAGAAACTGCAGAACTGGAATTAATTTGCAAACTGGACACCATCAAATTAGGCCTGAATAAAGACTGGGAGTGGATGGTCACTACAAAAAGTAATTTTCCCCTCTGCTGATACTCACACCTTCTTGTCAACTGTTGAAAATAGGCCACTTCCACCTTAATTGAATTGGCCTTGTTAGCACTGACCCCCCACTTGGTAAGGCTACTCCCATCTTTTCATGTGCTGCAATATTTATACTGCATTCTGTATTTTTCACTCCATGCGTCTGATGAAGTGGGTTTTAGCCTACAAAAGCTTATGCCCAAATAAATGTGTTAGTCTCTAAGGTGCCACAAGCACTCCTCATTGTTTTCACCTGTAGAGGGAACCAAAGAGCTCTCATTCCAACAGCATTGCTAGCTCAAGGACAATACACTCATCTGTTAGCGTTGGTTTAAAAAAAATCCTATTTTATTGCAGAGAAAATTTTGAAACAAAACAATTTTGTTAATAAAATCTTCCAGACAATCTTGATTTTTCAACAAAAAAATTAAATGAAAATTTTCATCTCATTTCAAATTGAAATGTTTGTTGTTTTGTTTTTCAAAAAATAAACTGAAATGAAAATTTACATGAAAAACTAAATTACAGATTTTGTTTCGTTTCGGTTTGAGTATTTTTCACTGAAATACTGAAAATATAGTTGAAATCGAACTGTTTTTACCAAACATTTCAATGAAACTGCATTCTTCAATGCAAAATCATTTTAACCAGCTCTCTATTCTAATCTATCTGTGCGTACTATTTATAGGGTGTCAAGCTGAGCCTTCCAGTGACCACTCTATGAAAGCAGCAGCTCTCCTTCTCCCTCCAAAGACAATGTACAAACATGTCCCACAAACTGCAGAGACAGAGATATCATGAAATCATAACTGGACTCCTAGCAGCTATTAATGGAGGAGCTGTGCAGAGCAGAGGGTAAGGGAAGGTAATTGAAAACACGCTGCATTCTTGAGCCCAGAGGGGAGAGCTCTGTGGATTGTCAGCACCTAACAGACAGGGCTGTTTTTTACCCTGACATGTTTTAACACCTGGCTGTTTGGAGTGGGGAGGAGAAGACTGGATTGTCTAATAATCATATGCACTTCTGGCCTTTGAAAGTTACAGGGGCACTGTTCTCCTTTCTCAGAGATGATCTTTGAGTTTATAGCTTCCTTTCTTAATCCTAAAATTGTGCAGGGGCTAGGCTAGAGCCTGGGGAACTTACCTCCCCTTGCAGTGACTTCTGCAGGTAGGTTGGGGGGCCAGCGTGGGATCGACCCTGACATCACTAGCACAGCCTGGCTCAATGTGATTAACGAAGCAGTGCTTTTCCAGATCAGTAACCAGAGTTCCATTCCAGTCTGAGCTCCCATTAGACAGGAGTTTGATGGGGAGGGTGCCAGCGGGGAAGGGGATAGCACGGACAATGAGCAATGCCCCATACACGCAGGGAGCCATCACTGAATCTCGGCAGAGAACATCACTTAGTTTCAAGCCTGACTGTTTCACTACTGTGAAATGCAAACCCAACACATATAAGGGTAGGAACCCGATACATAGAATGGCTAGTGGTGACCACCATTATGGCTCCGGGGATCCTGTCCCTGCTCAGAGGCAATTCAGGGAACGAGGGGTCTGAAAGAGAGGAAAACCTCTAGGTCACACTAATGACCAGTAGCGGTAACCAGCCAGTGGTTGGGTTTGGGCCAATAGGAATGAGTTCATGGGCTCAGTTTTTCCTAATGGAGCGCTGTTCATGTGGCTCCGTAATACCCAGCACGGCTGGCGCTCGCAGGCGAGGATACAACCGGTCTGGAAACTGAACAACTCTCTCAGCCCACCAAGCAGCTCAGCACGGTTCTGGAGCAGTGAGGGGAGGAGCTTAGATTGCCACTGCCTCTAGGCTGTGCCCTTTCCGTGAGCACAGGATTTCTCAAGTCCAGCACAAAACCCACTTTTTAACCACGAAACATGGAAAAGGAGAAGAAATTCAGGGTAAGCCAGAGGGAGTGACAGCAGCATCCTGGACACAGGCTTTCCTGTGAGTAAAGGATCAGCCTTGGACTTTGGATTTCCGACTAGTCCTTGTTTACCCAGCTCCAGTTCTGAAAGTGCCTGTTCATCGTACAAACATCAAGAGTGCTGGCAAGGCCGAGGGGAAGCAAAGTTCAGCTGCAGGGAATGCGAGAGGAAGGGCGGTCCTGCAGCTCCCCTGGCAGCAGCTCAGGTCGTTAAAGCAAACGGTTCTGATCTGCAGCAGGGCGGGAAGGAAAATGGTGGGGGAATCCATCACCTAAAGCCTGGGTCGCTATGTGCTCCTGGCCTGGCCATAAAAACTGGGGCTGGGCAGAAATCCGAGCCCTCCCCACCAGCCACGTTAAAAGCTGCTGACTGACCCCCAGCAGTGCACATTCACTACAGCACGTCCAGGGTTGCAGGACCATCGGGGAGATTATTGTGTCACCAGGTTATACTACAACCGTCTTCCCACAGCGCCACACGAGAAGAGACTCAGCAACGGCCTCGCTGAAGGCTCCAAAGCCCCTGCACTCTGGGGCCTAGCCCAGCAGCGCAGGCTGGAGGAGGATGGGTTCAGGTTCAGTGTGCTCTGTGGTCGACAGCGAAGCACTCATTTCCCTGGATCCACTCGCCCCTCCTAAAAACAGTACCTGCAGTGTGTGCTCGGTTAACTCCCTCCTGTTGACTCATTTACGGAAGTCAGGTTTCAGACACAACCCACTACGATGTGCTCCTAACAGAGGGGTTTGTTTCAGAGAGCTCCACTGTGTTGTGGACCATCTTTGGGTTTGGCACACAAGCAATATATTTCATCCGTAGATCAGGCCAGTTTTCTATTGCTTTTTCCCATCTGAACCATGCTAACTCTGGTGCTGTTCCTCTGAGGAGCTCCAAGCACCTTACAAACATTGGTCAAACATCACACCACCCCTGTAAGGCAGGTAGGATTATCCCCATTTTACAAAGGGGGAAACTGAGACTCGGTTACCCAGAGTCACACAACACACCAATGACAAAGCCAGGAAGAGAACTCAGGTTTCCTGACTCCTCGTCTCCCCACTTTAATCACTAGACTACACTCTCTTTCTTCAGAAACACTAATTCTGTTTTCTGATGCTAATTTAAAAGGGCTTTATTCTATTGCTCTAGATTAAATTCCTTAAGCAGATCTCTCCCTCAGAGAGCTGTTTTTCAAAAGTCCGCTCCGATGCACTTGAATGTTTCCATCATGCAGCCTTTATTGTCCCCCTTTCAGCTGTGAAATAGCACTAATCTCACACAAGCAAACTCACAAATCAAGCAAGTTCAGACACTGTCATCCAGAAGTCCCCCTGTACTAAAATTAGGAAACCATAAGTGGCTGCCTCTTCTTATAGGAGGGTGTGACCAAGCAACTCCCCAGCCAATCAGAGCCAAATTAATTCTGCAGGCATGAAGCAACTGAACTTGTTTATCATTTTGACATCTGGCACCAGAGCAAAAACTTGCAAATCTTAAACTGCCTTCACACAAGGAACTTGTGACACAGACAGCTGCAGCCTCACAGCCCACAGGCTGGGACTACCTACTCTCCCTACAAAGGGTACGGAGCCTGGATTGGAAGAGAACACAGTAGAAGGGCCATGTTGGGTTTTCAACGTGCATTCAGGTTGCTTAATGCAACAGTGAGGAAGCAGATTGTTCCCAGAGCAAATATTGTTTCTGGACCACCAGAGGAGATTGTCACTCCAGCTGTGAGTAACCTTTTGTTTAAGGGAATAGTGATAATCTGTTATAGTAAATGTAGCAGTTTATTGTGTTCTGGGCACTCAAAACTGATTACAAATATAGCTGATAGCATTGGGATCTCCTAAAATGACAAGTATCTCCTGTGTGTGATAGCAAAAAGGGGCTTTGCTGGAAAGGAAAATATAAATAATGCAGGGAGAAAGTTAAATACTGACACATTTTTTTAAGAAAAGGAGAAACTTAAGTGAGTGTTCCTTGGGGTGGGGATAGGAGAAGCTGCGACTCATGTTTTTCCATTTGTTGAATTTCATTTGGACATGAAAGTAAAAGTATAAAGAAAGAGGGAAATGATGAGTTTCACTCAGGAATAAAACCAATCCTTTTCTTACAAATGGCCAATCAAGTCACATGATGGATCAAATTCTGCTCTCAGTGACCGCTCTGAAGTCAATGGGGCTGCATGGCTGTAACTGAGGTTGACTCTCTTTGATTCCCAGGGGTTATTTTTCTTTATACTCTACTTTCTTCTCTCATCAATCAAATGACAGAAAAGGCCTCTTTTCATCTTGTGCTTACAACAGTGGGCAGGGCAGAGACGTTCAGCTTTGGGTGCGAATGCCCAGCAGGCCTGAGTCTATAACAGGCCAAACCACAATCCCACTTCTAATCGCAGGGAGAGTGGGGTCCAGACCTGCACTGTATGGCTTGGGCCCATCTCTGCTCCACTCAGGGCCATCACAGAAGCTAGTGCTGCTCCTGATTTTGATAGGAAATGTTCTTTCCCTGCAGAGGCAATTCCCTGCTTTGTGAACTGCTTTGCATAGTTGGTAAGGTGAAGGCCCCAAACAAAGGCCTCTGATCCTGTAGAGATCTCCATGTGTGATACTAAAATCAATGGAACATTGCACAGATGCAGGGATCTGCCTACATGGAGCTCACTGAGGGATCGGGGACAAACTGTGTGAACGGACACAAAAATCTCTCTCTACTTTTTACTCAACTTGAACCTGTCTGGCATCTACCGGGTTAAAAAAAGAACCCTCTTTGGAGGCTGTGACAGTGGTTAAGTCAGAATCCATTGTTGGTCAGATCGGTTACACGTACCAGGAAACAGGGGGGATCAGTCACCTGCAGGCAGACTTATGGCGTCACTTTAAACAGACAGTGGCAGAAACTAAACTCTGTTCCTTCCATTAAAATAACCCAGCTCCCTGGTTTGCGGAGCCTGCCAGGAGTGCCATGTTCAGAGGTGAACCTGGGCGCCTCTTTCTCGACGGGCCAATAATAAAAAGAAAGTTTTAAAAAAAAAAAAGTGTTATGGAAAGACGCTGTCTCATTCTGGCTATAAAAAACATTCCCCTTGTTGGGGGCGGGGCAAGGAGGGGGCATACTGCAACCGCCTACTGAGATCTAGTGACAGGGCATCTGTGTGTCTCATAAGAGCTTGTGTCGCAGTTTGCTTCACTCTACTCGTTTTGTTTTTATTTGTATAGATACCATCTAACCCCTCCCTCTCTCTGTCAGATTGCCTCTCTTTGCTTCCAAACCAACCCCCATTTTAGTCAAGCCTTTAAAATGGGAATTTCCCCAGTTGAAATTGAATCGGCTACCGTCAACGTGTAGCTATGCAGAATCCCCTGTTGTTTTCCTGCTTTCTTCTCCTTTTCCAAGAGATTATGTGTGAGCAGGGGGGTACGGGCCTATACTAAACTCAAGAGAGTCCAATCCTGAGGCGCTGACTTGCTACTCAGTTCCCCATTCCTTACTCAGGAGCCTCCGAGAAGCTTTGCCAGAGTAAGGTCTAAATAAAAATGGAATAAGAGCCTCAGACTTTGATCCGAAGTTTTAGTTTATTAATATGCTTTGCTTTCAGGAACAGAGCACAAGGGCTTAATGTATGACAGCTGTATGTACAGTTAACTTAAGACTGTTTGCAGCCAGCGCAGATAACTTGTTACTAGGTGAAACTTTGTCCAGGCCATTGCTACTGTTCTGGGCACCTCAAAGTGATTTGAAAGTCAGACTGATTGTCACTGTGCCCTTCGGGAATGCATTATGTGCAGGCCGTGACCTTCTTGCTGAATTTGAGGAGCTGGCGGGCTCATGGCACTGATCAGTGACCTTGGAAGGCTGAGAGTGAGCAGTTATTGCTGGGTTGTTTTGAATACGTCCTACACCTGGAACCTTGCGGAGACATTAGACCGAGCCCTGCCTGCGTGGGATGAATTTTATGGCCTGGGATTTCTTGAACTATGGGAACTAACCAAACCAGAACAGGGAAGCTCGGCTCTATGCCAGCAGGGGGAGCTGGGAGGAGCCCTGTTTTTCAAAGCAGGTGCTTACGAGCCATGTTGTTCCAAACCAGGTCCCAGCTAATGGCAGGATCTGGACTAGGGAGCTGGGTTACTTTGATTTTCATGCCCAAACCGAGATGCAGAAATACACAAACATGCAGTGACAGAAATAAATTGACGTATCAAACCACATTTAGTCTCGATCTAGTGGGAATGAGTGCATTTACCCATAGCTCCTCCTCCCCTCCCCATCTCTCTAGTAGGCCGAGGCTGCGAACCTGTTCCCACGTTCCCTGCACACCCAAACTTCTGACTGAAGTCAGTAGGAGTTTGGGGTGCACACAGAATGTAGACCCACTGGAACCAGCTACACAGGCTTGTTACAGTTTGAACCCCTAAATCCCAATAAGATGATGTCCCATCTCTATACTGATCCATGACACATGGGCGGCTGCAGAAGACCCTATATGACCTCTGGTTTCTCTCCCATTGGCAGGATCAAGCCATTGCGCTGATTGTGATGTTTGCAACCGTCCTGATCCCATCGGGCTGGATTCTGGCACACATGGAGGACTACAAGCACAAGCCTAGCGAGTGAGAGACAGGGGGAAGCTGCATGCAGCCTAGTTTAGGAGAATGGGAAGAGAAGACTATTGAACAAACTCCTTCATGGCAATCTGACCTTTGAGGATTTTATAATTAAAACACCATGAAAAAACATAATGGGCTGAGCAGGTCTTTGTTTGGGTAGAAGAATTGGATTGTATCTGCTGGTTAGGGTAGACCCTAATCTGTACTACACCCAGCACAACAGGACCCAGTCCTGATGGAGGCCTATAGGTGCTATTGCAATACAAATTTTCTCCTCTTACAGCAAACTCTGACTAGGGAGCTTTTGATTTTCCTCTTAAGCCGGACATTTCATGCATCCCCACTCACCAACTTTACAGTGTAGTCTTAAGTCAAGTCCATGATGAACAAGGTTAGGAAGCAACTTACTACGCTCAAGTGCACTCAAGGTGCAGGCCCAGTCATGGAACTGCAACAGAGCAGAGATACTGGCAAGAATATGCTACATGGCCACTCACGGTTCAGGGGGACTGGAAAGCTGTTAAGCAGGGGCTGCTTCTCAGGGGTGCTGCACATCCATAGTTCGCAGACTTTAGCTGTTGTAGATGCTCTGCATACCTGAAAAATCAGGCCCAGATCCACAACGTTATGTAGGATCCTAACTTGCACTGATATCAGTGGAAGTTAGGAGTCTAAATACTTTTGTGGATATAAGCCACGTCATTTCTCCCCCACTCCCCCAAAATAGCTAACGGGGAACTGGGAGAATTAGTGCCAAGCAAACACAGCCAAGGCTGTTCCAGGGAAGCCGATTGCAAGGGTAATTCAAAAAGGGGGCAGTAACGCTTCTATCATTACACCTAATCACATTCAAACAGGGATTAGTTTCTTTAGTGAATATCATGTCTACGGAGCCTACCAGTTATTTGAAAAGGTTAATACAATAAAAGCCCATGGCTCACTAGGATAGGGGAAACTCCCTAACCCACTTCTGTGGTTTCCCCTGCATCCCTATCTCACACCAAACCTAGCCCTCTCTCCACACTATTGAAAGGGCTGTAATGAGGTCTCCTGAGCTCAATAGGTTCCTAATTCTCTCTTGAAGCAATGAAGTATTGCAATTAAATCTAAACTGCCAAGTGATACATTAACTCTGCTTTATGATGGTTGCTCCATTACTCTCTACTTTGCAGTGGCTCTTTGTCAGCATCAACTAGTGCGGTTCTACCTTATTTTTAAAAGCCCTCTACTTAGCCCAACCCTGAAATATGATAGAAAATATATTCCTAAGCATGGTTATTTGCTCCTTACCTGTACATCATAGACTAAATCATGAGAAGTGGCAGTACATAGTGAGGGTGTCTTCGGAATGAGGTTTGGGAGAAGTCTTAGGTACATTAATGACTTGGAGCATAAATAGGGGAAATTCTCAGATGGCACAAGGTTGCGAGGAGGAAATGGACTATGATATTTGCAAACATCACAGAATTATTTCAGTTGCTAAAACAAGGGAGGATTCACAGACTCTCCAAATAGAGTTTGACAGAATGGGGTGGCTAGGGAACATGATGGTAGATGTGAAAACAAGGGGCCACATGCTGAAATTAAATAATTTAGAACCTATAACAAAGGAAATGCTATTTATGCAGGAATTCCCTGCCAGGAAAGGTCATTGAACTAAACAGAGGTCAGAGTAAAAAGGATTAAGTCATTTTATGACCAAACTACAAACTCCACAGGAGAAACTGGTATAGGCTGACATCTAATCAAGTCTCTCACCTTCAGATCTTCTCTACCTCTGTTCACCATTGTTGCACTGACATGCACCCTATATTGTGGTGCGCTTGTCACGAGTGTGAGGAAAGACTTGAAGACCATATGCAGAGCTACAACCGTAGGAAATCCCACTGTGCTGGCTGGAGCCTTTGCGTGGTGAAGAAATCTGACGTATATACTTTGATGAAATACAGGCACAAGCACTGGTGAATAGCATGCCAGCTTTCAGAATAAGCCAGTCCTAGGATACTGTCCCAAGCACATGGTGCAAGAATATAAGTATTGGATCTTACTGTTTAAAGCTAACTTTATAAAGCTTTCTGGAAGTTTATCACTACCATTTATTTTTCATTTGACACCATCTGTTCAACTGATGGGTGGAAAAGGGGCTCAGCTGCTGTCTGCAGCAGCAACCACTGATGTCAGTGCCGCACCCAAAAGAGCACCAACCACCTAGCGGAGATTAAAGACCTGCTTGGGTATCAGCCTGACTAGTGTTTATGCTCACATGCCACATACTTTGGCGCTTGCACTATCATAGCCAAGGGCAGCAGGCAACCATCTCCTTGATGTGGAACCTGTACCCCACCCCCACAATTGCGCTGTTCATTCCCCCAGCTGAAGTAGCTGACTCTTGGTCTTCTCCAACTCCTCCCAAGAAAGGTGTTTTTTCAAATAGACTGGTCATGGGCCCCTTTACCAGCTCTCTCTCCTGGCTGTATGAAAAATCCACCACTCTCATGAAAGACCCAAGCCTGCCATACTACTAGGAATACTATGGAAAAGTGACTCACTAAACACTAGTCTAATAGCAATGGACAGTGCCAGAATACACAGGCAGACTAAACCAAAGCAATGAAGCTTAAAGCTGTATTAGAAAAACGTTCATTACCTGCAGCCTGGTTCTGTCACCTTTCCTCACAGAAAGTTGCTACTCCACGGGAGTACGGGTGACAGAGTCAGAGATGTTGAGAAACGTGTCAGAAACACAGCTCCTAACAAGACAGGACCTTGGATGCTGCTCTTGGCAGTCACCAATGTTTCAATTCATTGTTCAGATGTATTGATCTGTAATGAAGACTACACCTGGCATGCTGTGTACGATCTTACGTTATTCAGTTAGATTGTAAAGTTCCCCCTTAAACAGGACACAACCCAAGAGTTAGCACAAGAGCACGTGAACAGAACTGTAGAAGAGGGAAGGCAGAGAAGTTTATTCCAGCAATACTGCTGCACCACACTTCATAATAAAGTGTTCATGAAAGACGAGAATAAACCCAAAAAGGATATAAAACCAAATGCACTAAATTAATGATTTTATTCCTGGCAAACCCACTGATGGGGTGAGCAGCTCCCTTTACTGCCAACTGTGGAGGTGGGGTGTCTTGGTAATGCTGCCTTTGGGCTGCTGGGAGGAGAGGCTACTGGTGAGAAAGTCTTGCTCCCCCAAGTCCAATCACCACATCAGCAATGCCTGATAGTGGGAATATGGCATCTCTCTCTCTAGCACAGTTTAGGACAGAAGCACCCATCTACTGGGCTAATGACTCTACCATGTAGCTACCACCAGCACCCTCCAGTGCAATAGTTTGACACTAAGACTGATTCAACCACCATTACGGAGCCCTTATCCCCCTTGGTGACAGTAGGACAGGAGCTCCTATGGTCAGTGCCAGCAGACCGTTGGCGCACAGGGAATTCCTGACTTAAGCACCAAAGGGTTACACAGTAAAGGCCACTTACTCCTCTGTACAAGCATCAAAAAGTAGTTCTTCCCAACCTCCCCTAGCCCCCCCTTTAATATAATTCTGTACAGAGTCAGTGGTCTGAGCACCACCAGTTTCAGCAGCAGCAAGAGTTATTCGCTCAGGCAGTGCAAAGTCTTCTATGTTAGGATATCGTGGGCTTGGTGCTCCACCAGCATTTCCATGCTCCTCACATCTGTGCACCAGAACTCCAGACGGTCCTTCATCCCCTTGATCTGGAAAGCAAATCCACAACAGCTTTAGGAGCCTGGACATAGAAGGGGAAAAGCAATTGCACCTGCCCAGGAATGGGCACTAGAGTGAGACCAGGCATGCTGCACACTGAATTCAACTAATTTGGAGCAGAAGATTTTTCACCACATCCATTGCATTTAAAGATGGAACATGAAAGCTAAGGGGACTGATTACAGGCAGGGCCCCAGGAAAAGCACTATCAAGAGTGAAACCAATTCAACATGGGTAACTCAACAAAATTACCAATTCAACAAAATGGACTGTGAATTTGGTAGGGCCCTAAACATGGGACATTAAGATCCCAAACTTGACTTCAAGATATGGTGTGACAGGACCCCAAGATTCTAAGTATGTGGGTTTCTGAGAAAGCTTTTAGAAAATGAAGGGAGGAAATTTTAAGGGAGAATAATTTTAAGTTTTGTAAAATGAAGCAGTCCATCAGCTGTGATAGTGTGTCATTAGGACAGCAGTGTGCATTTCAGTTTCACTCAAAGCAAAGTCCAACATTATTTCCCTCTCCCCAGCCAAGTGTTTTTCATGGTTTAAAGGTTTTTAATATCTGGGAGAAGCTATTCAAAGAGTTCTTAACACCTTCTTGTTACATGTTTGTTATGGGAAAAACTAATTAATCATGGAAGTGAGGGATGGTACAGACATAAGGTCTTCTAGCCCATCCCCCTCTTCAGGCAGTGTTGTTATCTATAGCATTTACTAATAGGTCATAGGCCCCAAAATGATGAGGTACCAACCCTGGGAGACTATTTAGCTCTTAACCTTTCTTCCAAAGTCATTCCCTGTTAGATGCAAGGTCTCAGGTATAGAGAATGTGCAACAATGGCATAGTTATTAATCTGAAACCTTAAATTTAATGAAGCAAAAACTTTACGTTAACCCAAGTTTCTGTCAATTTATATACACAAGTGCGCATGTGTGATGTGCTTATTGTTTGCATGGCCCTATTCTCAGAATCTCAAAGACACTTATTCCATCCATCATGTTCCCAAGGAAGGCTTGCGAGTACAACTGCAAAGCTTAGTTATGGATATCTGGGTTGAAATCAAGGTCTTGTTATTTTGTGAAGGTTAAGCACTACAGGAGAACTTTTCAAATAGTGTTTTCCTCTGGAGGGGGAACCTTTGCTAACTCTCTTCTCCAAACCACTGCAAGAAATGGGCAGAGTCAAGGTCTGAGAACTACAATCTTATTAACAGCTCTCATGTCAGTATTCAGGCCAATCACAGATCGAAAGGAAGGTGAGTTAACGTTGGTTAAGTATTTCAGCTGACATTACCTGCTGTAAATCCAGCACACGCGGTTGGACCCAAGTCATGTGCACTTTCTTATCCACTTCATCAATACTGCCCTTTACTAACCCTA